CAGTCAGGGGTCAGCACGATGACTTCTTCGGGACGAGTCGTTCAACCCGCGCTTAGAGACGGATGCAGGATGCGGTCAGAGTGCAGCGGTTGTTGAGGCATCTGTTCGGTGATGTCCATGTTCATCAGATAGTGTCGTGTGGAGTGTAGTGTACACCGTACAGTAGTGTAGAGTAAACTGTAGTGTAGTGGTTGGGCACACACACAATCTATCTGAACAGTAAGTCAGTCAGTCACCCTCTGGTCGGTAAATTAGAAATTGAAAGTTACTGTGTGGCTCAAAAAGTACGTAAGCCGCGGTAAGATGGAACATTCTTCGGGTGGAGACGGGGGCATTCTTCGGCCGCGATCCAGCCCAAAAGACTTACGTGATGGGTTCCAGAACATACAATGAAACGAGGGCCATACAGAACTAGTACTTTTGAGCGGTATGGTATGGTTCCGGCAGTCGGCATCCGCCCTTACCGCCTGAAACGGACCAGCCTCTTTCTGGACAAAGCGGTGAGCGCCTCACTGTTAGTGTTAGTGTTAGTGTTAGGAAAGAAAGAAAAGAAAGAAAACTGCCGACTGCCAAGAGTCTCCTTTTCTGCAAGCGGGTTTCTTATTATGCGATTTGAATTACGGATTCCTTTTTTTTTCTGCCTGATTGGGGGTTAGTGCAACTTCGCTGGGACCCGATGTTACGGGACTAAGGCTGAGAATTACCAGCTCCCGTTTCTTATCGTTGTAGTGAGTCTCGGGCTCTGCCTCTCTCTCTCTCTCTCTCCACTCCCATTGAGATCATTACTACGGAGTATGTCTTTTTGCCTTCTTTCTTCATCGCTCCCTTCTCTTCTCCCATCCTACCCCCCCCCAGTCTTCCCACCTTTTCAACTCTCACTTAAGACTACATACATTACACTCTCTGCCCTTTTCTTCTACCTCTTTCTCTTCCTCTACTACTCTCCCTCACCCTCATCATTCTTCACACCCGCCTCTTTTCCTTATTAGTACACCTGCCAGTCGCGTGCCTGCAGACGCACCCGGCCGTTCTTCCGCTTTTGGCTCCCGCTCGAACTGGGGCTCTTCTACGGAGTACGCACCAGTGACTGCCCCAGTACCCAGTGCCCACTGCCAACACAGCACAGCACAGCAAAAGTGGTTCTCATCGCTAGCGGATACCCTTATATATTCTTCAGCGGAGTCCACTCTTCCGTTAGGAGAGGTGTCTATCAGACGCTCTTCTCTTTTTTCCTTCCCTGGCCCTCTTTCTATTTATCCATGTATCTCGCTCAGACGCTCGATCAGAGTGCCTCGTCTGGCCTAGGCCGCCTTATCAGACTACTACTATCCTTGTCCTGTGAAACGAAACCGATAACCACGAAACTGTAAAGATGATGGTCCCCAGAGCATTTCTGTTTAGCTCGGTGTCTTCGCCTTTGAAGGGAACTCGAAGCGAGAAGACTCCGGGAGTGCTAGGCCTTCCTGTTATCGAGGGCCTCGAATTGCCCTCCGATGCCGACATATCTTCATCGACGATCCCCTCCAGCCCCGTCGTCATTCCTCCGAAGCGGGGTCCTCGCATGACCTCCGTACACTCGCAAGCGGCGAACAAAGGCCCCAGGACTCCAAGGAAACCGAGAACCCTCACCCCCCAGTCCTCGTCGGGGACGCTGTCCGATCGGCCGGTCTCCAGCTCCATCGCATCGATCCTGGAAGCTACAGCGATTCCCGTGCGTCGACGGGGTGTCAGCGGACGGGATTCTCGCCGGTTACCGCGGGGGAACCATGTGCAGGACTTCAGCAAGCTGTTGTTGGACGGGGTGGGCGACAACCTGATGGACAGCACGGGCAACACCGCACTGGATCTCCTGCTGAGTCCGCCGGATGACACGGAGAGATCTACGGTTGGCAGCGACTGCGACAGCGAGGCGCCGTCGTTTTCAGCGTCTTCCATCTCGATCGCATCCACACCGTCTCTCGACCGGGATCTGGACTCGCCGCCCAGTCTGCCTACGCCCTCGACCCCGTCCAGCCAACGAAGCCCACTGGACCGTAGATTCCTGCGATCCCCGCCCTGCGAGAATTGCGCGTTCGACCACCCCCTCCTCGAGACGGAGGACTGCAGCTCTGAGGACGAATTCGACATGGAATCGTTCCTGGCGGCCGCCACGGTGCCGGCGACGACCAGCCCGACGCCATCGCGATCCTTCCCCCGCCTTGGGGCGACCTTCAAATCGAACCTGACCGCCTCGCTGCGGGCGATCAAATCGGCGGCGCAGACGGTCTCCACCTTCGCGACCCCCTCGGTGCAACCGGACGACTTCCTGACGCGGTCGATGTTCACAATCACGCCAGAGATGACGGACGACCGACGGCCTCCGCCGATGCACGAGCCGCCCTCGCCCGCGCTCCGCCGGTACTTGAACCCGATCACGCTCTCCCCGGCCGAGATGTACGCCTATCAGGACTACCATCCGCACGAGGAGACCCTGGACGCGAACGCTAGCCCGGTGGTCTCCGTGCAGATGCAGACCTACCGGCGCGCGGGTAGACGCGGCGGCCACCGCGCCAAGCATCACCGCCTCCAAAAACAGCCCCTCCTCCCCGTGTCCGACCCGGAATTCCCGCCGATGACCCGGCCCCGGGAACCGCGGGAGAACAGCGACTTCCTGCGGATGGTTGTGCTGGAGATGAATATGCGGCGCAGCGGCAAACTGCGGGACGATGTGCCGACGCGCGCGCGCATTTGGCTGCCTGCTCGGAAGGGGGTGCATCAAGCCCAAGCGCGGGTGCTGCGCTATGAATGCTACGAAGAGGAGGATGAGAATGCGGTTCCGTCCCGATGGGTGGGGATAGCCGTTGAAAGCTTGTAATTTTTGGTCGCGTTGTACATAGCGCTTGTCCTTTTTTTTTTTGTTTCTTGGTGGTGGGGAGTTGGAAATCACGGGCATACATCGGCGTTTTTTGGGGGGGCAGTGGGACACTTGGCGCATTGCTACTATCAGTTCTATACCTATGGCTATACCTACACCTACACCTACACAGCCTACCTTTACAGACAGACAGACAGACAGACAGAGAGAAAGACTTACATTGCTAAACCTGCTTGCTTTTGCTTTCTTCCCTCTTCAAACTAGACTATGATAAGTTACTATAGAGTACATTCTTCACAACCCCCAAACCTACCTAGGTAGTCTAGTCCCTTATCTAGCTGCATAAGCAATCACGCAGACCGACAGTCTAAACCGCGGATAAAACCCCCCCTCCCAGCCAAACCACACTTAACACTCACACTAGCCACTCAAAGTCTCAGACTAGTCCAAGCCTGCAGCCATTCCGCCCAGCGGCACCAGCCCGAACACACTCTTGCTCTGAAAACAACCTAACCTAACCAAACCTTGTTTCGTGGTGTGGTTTCCCCAGCGGAAATAGATTGATTTCGGGAAGAATTAGGGATGGTGATCCGAGGGGGGTTCAACCCCCAGGCTGCAGTGCAATTGACTAGGTGTACTCCGTAGTTACCGGGGTTGGTAGGCCGACCGATAAGGATGCCAGTGATAAGAAGCCCGGGAGAGCTGAGGCCCGGGGGAGAGGATAGGATATATGTCCTAACTGGGTAGGTGAGAGACATCAATCCATGATGGATCCATGATCCTGTCGCCTCGTCCCCTGTGAGAGGACAGGACATTGATACGGGGGTAGGAGGAGATCAAGATAATGCGATGTTCTATGTGTATGTTCTATGTTATGTTACTAAGGATATATCGCACGTGGTCTACTCCGTCTACGGAGTACTACAATGACATAATCTATCATCTCCAGTTACCCATTAAACTAACTCCATGATATGAGTACATACATGTATCTCCTACGAGGACTTATAGAATTAGAAATCTGGAACCACCCTCAATTAAACACAATCACCAACCAACTCAACTTAAGTTTGACCTAAGGTCAGAAATGACATACCACCCCATCCCAACCCATGAAGTCAGTCAGTGAGCCAGACAGACAGACAGAGAGACAGGTAAATGACGACACCTAATTCCGGGGGTGGCAAAACCGCCTCCCCTCCCCTCCCCCCAGCCCTCCAGCTCCCAGCTCCAGCTCCAGCTCCAGCTAGCTACCTAGTAACTAGCAAATCACACCCATGAACATCCGATCGTCAAGATGATGATACCGTCATCTTTTTGCCTCCCTTTCCTACTCTACTGTACCCTACATGCGATGTATCTGTGGTAAGGTAGGTGAGGTGGAGCAATCCAGACACCCAAACCCAACTAGTTGTCAGAACAGCGTAATTTTCAAAAGTCTCGTACTTTCCACATTCCTCTGCATACAAGGAGATGGAGGCTGTCAGGCTATCTGGGGTCAAGCAGGTAGGTTAAGTTACGTTCACTTCATGATCTTGTTCTTGTGATCGTTCTTGTGATCGGGGGGTGCTTATCTCTGGCCAACCGGAGATATGCATGGCGTGTGTGGTTCAAGAGCCTGCCCGGGCGTGTTCCGAGCCCTGCGCCGGGGCAAATTTGGTTGCCTGTTTCGGATGAATGAGATATCACGGGCTTTTATTGTTAAATGGTCGCGTCAGGAAGGAGACTGTAAGTCTGGGCCTGGTGTAGTGTAAGGTGGTAATGCTGTTGTCTGGGTTGTTGAGAGAGAGGATCGAGTGGTCATTTCCATCCATTCAGCACGTCGATCAGCATGGTTGCTACCGCAGTGCTGAGTGAGGTATGCTCGCTCCATACCCCCAAAAGTTTCCGCAAAGGATAAATCAATAAATAATCGCATGAACCCAGCTGCCCGCAGCCCAGCTGTCATCCAGGATCGGTGTAACATCTGCCCCTGCACAGCACCGGACTGGTCAGAGATAAGCCTTCCCAAAAACCCCGGGCGATCATTGGTGCTCCAGTTGATGTATATACACTGATAGGCCCAGGGTTGTATACACATAACCTGCAAGGCAAGCCCCACCAACTAACCAACCAGCTAAAGTATATAAACATTATTACTTTACCCATCTCACATACCAAGAAAAGAGGCACTGTGACTCAGAGAGCGAAGCACAGAGATAAGCGCCCCCTCCCATCCATCCCCGAGCACATCCCGTACACCTCGTAGCCACCTAATACAACTAAACCCCAGCCCCCTGCCCCTAAAAAACGAACCAATGCTGAATGATTGATATATCAGCTCGGCCCCAAACCAACCAGCCTACGCCGTGAAATCTCAAGAGGGTGAGACATCATCCTGCGCAATGCGCGTCTACCCGACGTTACGCCTGTCTTTCATTTCAATTTCCCTTTTCCCTGCTTTGGGGGTTGGAATTCTGCCAGCAGTCAGCCCATGCTTTGCTTTTCTGATTTCAAAGCAAAGGCAAAAACCAGGGGGGGGGGGCGAGGGGGACTCACGCTCCTCATCCAAAAGCGTCTGCTGCCGCCAGCTCTCTTCCACCCAGCCTGTAGTCACGAAATGAGGGATCCGCTGCGCCGCTGCCCACGGCTCTCGTAAAGACCTATACTCAGCCACCGGCAGACCCGCCGGCTGAAGGATGACATGAGTGATGGCCGGGTCCTGGGCGGTGTCGACCACTCGAGCACCTGCGAACCGCGCCGTGTTCCTCGTCAGCTGGAGGGGGTGGTAGGATTCGAATTTGCCCATCTCTCTGAAGTCTTCGTCTGGGCTTTGATTTTCGTCACCCTCTGTGGTGTGTCGGTGTACCAACTGGGGGAAGTGAAAGACCAGTCCGTCGAAAAGCCAGCCGCAGGGAAGTGGCCATCCGGAGTTGATCTTGTCGTAGAGATGTTCCTTGAGTTTGTCGCGGGCTTTGGAGTTACGGGGCGTAGCATCCGTCTCCATCTTCTTCAGTATCTACGGACATGGTCAGTGGAGACGATTAAAGGAAGTAGACATCAGGTGTAGCTACCTCGCTCAGCTCCTCCAGCGTGGTGTTCCGTGCATAGCTGTCGTTGAAGCGGTCGACGCTCGCAGCCACCTCCGCCTCCTTCTCGGGTGTAGTATAGAACATATGCCTGCTACATCAGCCACTGGCCTTTCTACCCCAAGAAAGAAACTTACCTTGGCTCCGTAGGAAGAAGTAGATCCGCAAGACCGGCATCTATCTCACTCTGTCGAATACAGTCCAGGATCCAGGACGGGCGAATGATGTCCACCTCGCCCGTCTTCTGCAACGAAGCCGCCTTGACCGTTCCTGTTCCTGTCAGTCGATCTGAAACTACCCTCCAAAGAAAAAGCTTACTTCTATCCGCCACGCAGATCATATCAGGAGCCGCCGTATTCGTCTGATAGAACTTGCCGCCATTGCTCTTCACCAGCTGTTCCAATTCCGCCTTGGTCTTCTTGACTGGGGTGGTGGAGTCGGTCATGACAACTAAACACCAGCATCAGTAATGCAAACGAACTCGCACTAGGACTCGTCCGGGACGAAAAAACATACAAAAGTTCAGCCCGTCAAAGATATGTCCCGACGGACCGGCCGACTTGACCTCCGCCCTCGCATCATACCCAGCAATCGCCAAGGGTTTCTTGGTGGACTTCTTCTGGCGCTTCTTGCGGAAATTCTCCACGTTAAACGCCTTCTCCTTCTGCTCCTGCTCCACGTTGGACTTGAGGTCCAGGAACTCCTGCACCGACAGCGCACTCGTCCAGTCCTTGTCGCCGCGCAGCCGCTTGAACCGCGGGAAGCGCAGCGTCAGGCCCATGCGGAACTGATCGCTGACCGAGACGGAGGCGGCCTTGACACAGAGCACCACCGAGTCTTCGGGCTTGATCCACATATCCGGCCGCTCGTGCTGCGCGTTGCCCGCGCCCGCCAGCTCGATGTACGCCAGGGGCGGCTTCTTCGGGTTCCATTCCTTCCACTTACCGTCCGTGTGGTGGCGGATGTTCGCGTAGTCCGCCGCGGTGAACCCGCCGCCGACCTTGCAGAACGAGTAGCATTTGGACGGCTCGGCGGCATGGTGCTGTGACGACGACGCGGCCGAGTCGTCCACCCGCAACCCGCACAGGAAGCTGGAGAGGGCGCCGCCGCGATGGCCGCTGCCGTAGTAGCCCCCGATGACAACGAGGTCCAGCGACTCCCCGAACTCGGTCATGTACTCCGGCTTCACCTTCATCCAGTCGTCATGGCGCTCGTTCAGCCGGTAGGGGGAGCGCGGGTTCTTCAACACCAGGCCCTCCGAGGCTTCGGCGACGACCCGACGCAGCGAGGCCTCGACCTCCGCGGTGCTGGTGGCCTCTTCGTAAGGGTGGACCTCGAACCGGCGATGGACGTCCCGGATGCTCTTCTGCAGCGCATTCCTGCGGTCTCGCAGCGTATACCGCGTCAGGTCATGGCCATTCAGATACAAAATATCAAAGATCCGGAACAGCGGCCGCGAGCCATTGGCGAAGGGATTGCGCTGCTCGGCGATGGCCGCCGACTTGAGGGTCCCAAACGGCTCGGGGGCATCCTGCTCGGGGTTCCAGGCGATCATCTCGCCGTCCAGGATCACGCTCTCGACCCCGTCGGCAAACGCATCCGCCAAGTGCCTCGTCAGCGCGCCGTTCTCATCGAACAGCCCACTCCCATAAAGATAGGTATAATCCTTGGCCTTGCGCGACCAGAACCGAAACCGTCTGCCGCCATCCATCTCCTCATCCGGGCCCATATGCAACTGCATGCGCTCGCCATCCAACTTCTCCTCAATCCAAAACTCGCCCTTTTCATCATCCTTATCCCCCACAAACCCGCGCATCTTCGCAACCATCTTCTCCAGGCTCTGCACCTGAAACTGCGCCAACTGCGGCTGAAAGCACTGCATCAGCGCAATGCCCCTGCGCTCATCCTCCAACCTGACATTGGGATCATGCAACTCCCAACACACGCGCCGCAAACTACTCGAGATTGAATACAAGCCCTCGGCATCGGGATGCCAGACATCGAACAACGTCCGCTCCGACGCGCCCACCTTCATCTGCCGGAGAATAATGCGAATCAACCACAGCAACTCCTCAGGATTCATCCGCCGATAGAACTCCCCCAGAATCGCAATCTGCTCGCCCTCGCGCCCAGCGGCCGACAGCCGGTCCAGCCGCTCATTCACCTCCGCAATCGACATGCTGCCGACCTCCGTGCGCATCGGCCGCTTGGAGACGACGTCGTAGCACCGCCGCGCGAAGTCGCCCGCCAGGAACCCCCCGCGCGCCTCGTTCCCGTACCCCGGCAGCTTCCAGTTCAGCAGGCCCACCGCGTCCTCCGAGTTCTTGTCGATTTTCAAGATCTTGACCAGCATCTTGCCGATGGCCTTCTCCTTCAGGCCGTACATGGCCCGGTCGCGGTCCTTGTCCGGCAGGATCAGCCGGAAGGCCGGGTAGATGTCGTCGCCGACGGTTTGGCGCCAGTGGGAGATGAAGCGCTCGATCACGTCGCGGCGCCGCTCGGCGGGGTTCAGGCTGGTGGAGGCGCCTTGCCCGTGCGGGCCGAGTTTGCGGCGGGCGGCGGGGGCGCGTTGGGCGGTGGTGGTGGAGGTGGGTTGTCTTTTGATGGCGCTGAGGGGGTTGAACAGGGTTTCGAAAAGGGTGTGGAATGGAGGTGTCGGGGAGTGGTTGTGCGGGCGGTTGGGGTAACTGTTGTTTGTTTTAAGTCTCGAGGTCAATGTCTGAAGCCTGGGGAGGAGGGGCTTCGAGGCGATAAAGCAGAATAAGCAGCGAATTGTGAAGAACAAACAGAGTGAACTGGTTGGGGCTGATGTTGCTTTTTGTGCAATTTCTTGAACTCACTTCTCATCTAGATCCATGTCTTCATGCGCATGCTCTGTCCCCGCCGGTGGATTAAGCGTGCTGCTGCCTTCTACCTCCATATTCTCATCGGAATCCATCTTGCAGATGTTGCAGTCGGCTGCACTGCGCTGAAGGTGAGGGATGTCTGATAACAAAGAAGCATGCTCGGAAATCAAGCAAGAAAGAAACAACGGTGAGGGTGTAGGCTGTACGTAGTAGATAAAAACCCCGGCCTGCATTTTTAGGCGGCAGCTCCCGATAAGATAACACCACAGCATGTGACGTGACATCACTGCCTAAACTGCGGATTGTGAATAACTTCTAACTTACTGTGCTGGAGGTCCATTGCTTGCGTAGATTGTAGAATTTAATTTATTCTCTGTTACTCATCCTACATCATCTATTGAACTTATCTATCAATATGTGAAGTGAAATGTGCATGTGTAGGTTGGCGTTTGTATGTGTATGTGTGTAAATGCAGCTTTGGTGGCCATGCACACCAATGCACAATAGTATAGCTCACACTTGCGAGACTAGATCGGCCAGTCTGGATAGAATAGACTTAAGTTTCCGGGATATGCCCCACGACATCAGGTCGACAAACGTCTCGCTACCGGCCCGCAGAACACCAGCAGGGCCCTGCGGCGCGCAGATATCACCCACCCCCGTCAGGACTCCCTGGATGGCTTGTCCTTCCTTCACAAAAATCTGGACCAGCTCGTCATCGCAAGGCTGGTCGAGGTGTATAACTGTATTCTTGCCGGTAGCAGGTCGTACCCGGTCGGCTAATTGAGCACAGCATGAGCCATACGCCCACAGCACCAGTGTCGCCAGGAACACAGCGACCGGCTCGTGGAACGCATGGCTGGTGTTCCCCCGCGCATGGAGCAGGGTTGCGCCGGCATGGATGATCGTGAGACGGGCCTTGTATTGGTCATGTTTGACCCATCGTAGTATGTAGTGCCATTCCAGGCTCTGTTGACGGTCGCTCCAGCGAACCTTTTCCGTCACGAGCGAGTGGGCTAGCGATCGAATCTCACGGAAGGGTGCAAGTAGAACGATCCGAGCCGAGTGAAGATGCTGGATCGTTGGGTTGCGGAGATCCGCCGCTGTAGCGACCGTGCTGTTGGCGGCCCAGTGGAGTATGTCCAGGGAGTCGCATGCACTATTGCGCCACTTCGAGTACGAGGGAATCCCGGGAAGCCAGACAGAGCCCGAAGGGATCGCCGTTTGCCGAGACTGTTTCTTAGCGGTCGGGTTCCAGAACGACAATGGTCGGCGAAAGTAGTCGCCGACTTCCCACATGCGTTGGTAGAGAGCATGAATCAGCAGGATATGGCCCAACTCCCCAAGATCGGGTATTAGTCTCTTTTCAATGTACATAATCAATACTGCATCGTATAGGGAAAGCTCGGGTTGGCCTAAGACATGTTAGACACTGAGATCGTACTGCACAAGTAGCTGTTATACCTGGACTCTGTTCGAAAATTCCCTGCCAGGCATGAGCTGACTCTGCTTGCCAGAGTCTCTCGTGAGCAGGAAGTGCCGCTTGCGCGTCCTCAAGCGAAAAGGAAGGCTGTCGATCGAAGTGATAAGCTATAGTACAGTCCACGAGCTATGGGAACTGTTAGCAAATTCCAGGCAAGTGGGTACGGTTTAGGCATTATACCCATACTAAGTAGGCCGTCCGTCGTCTGACCTCGTCCTCAATCCAGACCAGCCAGTTCTGCTCTGGTAGCTTGTCATGCGGTATTGACTTAAATTGTCTAGAAGATTTCAGGAGCTTGGTACGGTTCAACAAACTGGTCAAATCACCGAATCGATCGAGCGCAGAAACTCTAGCCCTTTCATCACTGTTATAGAGCAATCCAATGCAATTGAGAAGCCTTGCTTGAACAAGCCAGAGCGGCGCCTGGTTTTGACAGGATTTTTCCTTCTATTAATCTCTAATTAGTTGCAGGCAGACCGTAAGAGTACGAAATCCTCACCTCGACCATGATAGCTCGACGAAGAAACTCGTGGAGCGCAGAAACACATTCGTCTGATTCGTGGAGCCTAGCATAGTGGCTACCTATTGCCGCCAACGCCAATGTCACTATCCAGTGACATGTGTTCGTACTAAATGTAGGAAGGTGAAACATAGGATAGACGGGTTGGAAATGGTGAAAGTAGAGGTGGACAAATTCGGAAAGTACAGTTGCACTTGGCAAATACTCGGACTCGAATCGCGAGAATAGGAAATTTTCGGCGCAACACAGCTGAACAAAAGCTTTGTGAATCTTCTCGTAGGACGATATCCCAATCAGAAGACTTGGACCAATTTGAATATCGTGCATGGCGGTGTCTTCGACCATAGGGAACATGAACTGACGGGGCACATTTTCTCTGCCTCGAGAACTGAAGCCATCAGGGGACATTGCGGAGAAGTCTGACCAGAAATCTTGGTGCCGTCTGGACTTTGACAGTCGAGGTTGAGCTGTGTCCTCTGATAGGTCTGCCGGTCGTTTCGTGGCGCTGGAGAACGTTGAACGACCCGAGTTGTTAGGGCTGTTCTCGTCACTGACTAATGAAGTGTGTCCTAACGGAGATTTGTAGATGTTTGCCTGGCTTCCATTAGTCGGATGGATCACCGGCGGATACCATGTTGCATAGTTCATGAACCCATCACGGGCTTCGTGATTCACTGTAGGAGTGCGCTCGATGAATGTATCATAGGGCCCCTCTCCGGGAAGCCAGTTCATCGCAGGAACAGCTGAGTTCATCGTGTCCAAGAACGGCCCTAATGACCCGAGCTCTCCCTGCTGTCCTATTGTTGGCATGCTCGCGTCACTGCCATGACTGGCTGAAACTGGATGTGGGACGCTCGCTGAGCTCACGGGCTCGGCTGTCTGATTCAACAAATGTATGCCCTGGATAGCAGATAAAGACCTGCGTGATCTTGCTTGCTCGGAACTGTCGCCAGTAGGTCCATGCGGCGTGACTTGGGTCATATCAAATTCCCCCGCGGAAGAGATCAAGTTGGGCCGAGTCGACTGCTTTATCGCATTGACCTCTTGCCCATTGTTATGAGAGTCGTTCAATAATTCGTCTGGAGCCTCGCCTTGAAGTGGAACAACCGGGTCTACGGACGGTGATTTGTCATCCCTGTTGAGAAGGCCGGGTCCTGGCAATTGGAGTTGGAACTGTGTCATTCGGTAATGGAGCGGCTTTGCAAGGGACGTGTCCCCGCTGTGCGGAGATCGTGCAGCAGAACCTTCAGCAGATGTCGATGTTATAGCAAAAGAAGACTGCCCGTTGAACTCTTCGTCTGGGACCAAGCCTGACTGCGCTGCTTCTTTTCGGGCTTTAGCTTTCGAACGTCTCTCAGTTGGGTACAGACATTCGAGAGACCGGTTCTCGCACCGCGCACATGGCGTCCCGCCACTGCATCGCACTCGTGCAAGTGCGCATTTGAAGCACGCCCGGAATGTCTTTACTGTGATACGATGGGTGCGATCCTTCCCACCTTCAATTCCAGCGTTATGGTGGCTGAGCTCATGACGGTGCAGTGTATCTCTAACCAAGGCTTGAGTTAGTCCCCACTGAAGACGAAGGCGACGAATGAGAACAATAGAGCATCTAAGAATGCAAAATAAGAAGGCGAGAAACATACGTTCTCGAGAAATGACGGCCACACTGCGCACACTCGAATGGCTTCTCTTTTGTATGACTGCGGAAATGGCGCTTTAAATGCTCCGGTCGTCGAAAGGTACTCTGGCATATTGAGCACTTCGTCGGGCTCGCTGTGGAGCCCTGTTGCATTTCTTGATCGTAGGAGTCACCGTCATCCTTCGCTGCTGCCTCCTCAGATTCATGGTGGATCGGAGCTTCTACAGAGCCACCGCTCGATTAGTGGACTCAATCATGTCAGGTTCGAAACGAGAATCCATCGCACCTTGCCCAGCGTCGCTCTTCACCGAGGACATGGCGTCGCATAGACGAATTTTGCTTCAAACACGAACCGAGCGATTCATGCATGGCAACAGATACATTGGCGATGTAGACAGGTTACGGAGTTGAGAAGCGAGGATCATCACCAGACAAACAGCAAACTAAGCCCATTGTGCCATGTGGTAACACCCTGATCGCATCTGATCGGAGGAAACAGTACCCCACGAAAAATGACGAGGAAAGGGAAAAACAAAAAAAAAAACAAAAGAGAAAAAGAAGCAAAGAGCTGGCGGGGGAAAGTGATGATCGAACAATAGGAGCGCAACCAGGAAATTCAGGGACTGCCACTGCCCCGGACCAAGTCACGTCGTCTCATCCATTGCAGCTTTTCGAGGAAGCGGGGAAATGAACGGTCCTAAATCGAGCCTAACCGTTTAGCGGCGCCTTTTGGGGTCTCCGGGGCCCACGAGTCGCCCCAGCCTCCGCATGCTCGCATGCTCGCATTGGCGCAGTCGAATTAGTCTTGCATCTTTGGGGCCTCGGTTCGGTCGATTTTTCCGCCAGTCGTCGGTTAAATATCCGCATGTGCCCCAGATGCTGGAGTACACCAGTGTACCACAGTGTCACTTGCGATAAGTATGTGGTCAAATTGGTTGCTGCATTTGTTGTGACGCTCTTCCCCCTGTGCTGTCAGTTGCTATCAATGGAACGTATGATGCAGAAAAGTATGTGGTGTGGAAGGCTTCGATATTCCTCAGTCAGTTGTCTCGACGGGTATTCACAAATAGCCGAGAGAGAATGGAGAGACTGCAGATGCAGAGACTTGACTGTTGTCAGGAGGTGCCCCTCTTGCGACACACACATCATCATGTGTATAGCACATAGCCACAGCAAAGTCAGACCAAGAGTAAAGCTATGTGTAAATCCTGCCTAGAACGACTACGGTGTAACTATACGAATGAGCAATAAATACTCCGTACTGCTCTAGTTTTGCCGAGTTAATCCTCAATATTGCTAGCCGTATTGGAGATTAACAGTGTACTTTGAACAAGAACCCTCAGATTTGGACAGATAGCTATTGGAGAGAGCTTGAATCCGAATAGACGATAGCTCACAGCACTAGCATCACACTGTTTAGGAGTGCAGTACATAGTTGGATATAACTCCAAGTCAGAATGACCTTGCTGCTCCTAACTGGGAAGCGCATTATTTTGCCTTGGGCTGGGCAACGCACGGACGCTGTCTTGGATTAGCTCAGCAACGCTACAGCCAAATTTCCCCAAGATGGAAGAAGCTTTCCAGTCTGAGTCTAGCGTCCTATTACAATCACCCCCTACCTCTATCAATCGATCTACTCCGTACTATTCACCTCTCTCCGTTGCTCGAATGACGTTGTTGTGAGTGAGGATCCTACCAACCTAACCAACTCGAGAGGAACGGGCAGCGGCAGTACTTCTGGTCCTGACTCTCCCCCCACCCGCGCGAAACCTTGGAACGGGCATTCCTGCCTAGACATGAATGGCGAGTTCGACACCCGCTCTGGACCGCCGGCTGTCACCCCATGTGTCCCCCAACCAAGCGAGCAGCGCGAGCAGGACGGTGACAGCTCTTCAAGGAGCGACAGCAGCTTTTAATGCAACTAGGTCTGCAACCAGACATCCCCCTCTTGCCAGTCACCAATCTGGCGCCCAAAGGGGACCGTTCAACATGAACTCTTATGCCTCAGACTTAGCCTCTCTTCGCAGCAACCAATCTCCAGAGCCACCTGAGATCGGTTCAGTCAAGGACAAAGTTGGCAAGTTCAGTGCTTACGGGCAACCTGGCGGCTCCAGGGACGCTCCCCTCAGAGTCCCGGGAGACATAGGGGGCTTAAGACCACGTACCCCGCAGCAGATCGCCGCCCAGCTTGCGGCGGGGAGATCCACGCCTAGCAAGAAACCAGCTCCTACTCCACGCAGCAGCAGCAGCGCCAGTGTTGACCTTCCAATAAGGCCTGGCGGAGAGCGCGAAAAACCACAGCTCCTCGCACCGAAGCCTGTGTGGGCCACAACTTCGAGTAAGGCCTCATTTGAGAAGATCTTAAAGGACGAGCAGGTCCCTCGACTCGGAGACAAGCAAATCGAGCGGAAACCCATCAGGCCGGGTTCTGCTCTACCGGACTTTGCGCAGCTGGCTGCAGCAAAGTCTCGACCACCACCGGTGCCTCGAAAACCTTGCCTGAATCCTACTAGCATCAATGTCAATCCGGCATCAGAGAAACCGAAGAACCTTCCCCGATTGCATCCAGCACTCCCTTCGGGAGATCCTATCAGGCCTGACGAAAACCCACCATCATTACCCCCGCGACCGAGCGAAACACCATCATCATCGAGAACAGACCTGGCAGGTCATCGGGCTCTTTTGAGCAGTAGTGATGGCCGACCGCGACCCTCCAGTCCAGCCTCGGCATCTATGTATGCGAAGTCAGTGACCAACAGTACTCCGAGCCTTCTTGATAGTACCTCTGAGGGAGTACTGTCAGATGCAATTGTAGCATCCTCACTAGCATCCACCCGAGCTTCACAGGAGAAGAAAAGCGCTCCACCTCCACCACCCCGGCGTCGGCCCCGGTCACGTTCAATCGTGCATCTGGGCCACACTAAGAAACATGGTCACCCGCAATCGTCTAGTCCTTCTACTGTGCTACGGCAGACGCTTCGACATCCCAGCAGTTCGGATGAAGACGAAGGGTATCGCCAGCATAAACACATAATACGCAAGCACCCCCACAAACATCATGAAGGTGACCGAAAGCGTTGGCGGAGCGAGGTCAGTGAGAAAGACCGGAAGAAGTACGAAGGAGTTTGGGCGGCAAACAAAGGATTGCTTGTGCCTTTGCCGTCACAAGTCCCACCCGGTTTGTTGCCTCCCGACGCGTCCGAGATGGTAGTCAACCTTGTGGTCCGCGACATCTGGTCTCGCAGCGAGCTTCCATCGCATGTCTTAGAGCAGATCTGGGACTTGGTTGATCATCAGAAGAATGGACTTCTGACCCGCGAAGAGTTTGTGGTGGGAATGTGGTTGATCGACCAGCAGCTAAAGGGGCACAAGCTCCCCGTGCGGGTCCCTGACAGCGTTTGGTTCTCCGTAAAGCGGATATCAGGGATAAGAATACATTCGCTGCCGCCGTCCTGAAACTGATCTATAGGGGAGCTTGCATTAGACCAGTAATATCTGGGTGCAGCCCTGGCTATATAGTGCAATAAATTTTGGTTTAAAAATGCGTTCTGACCTAACCGGCTAACTCTAGTACTCGATAGTCAACGCCTGGACCTACCGTACAGGACACTTTACATGTACAACACCTCTTAGGATGGTGGCGACGGCCGGCGGGACTTTGCAGCTTCTGTGATTGATAAGGCCCTTGTGCTGCAGTACTTTTGTTTATATATTCTGCTCAGTGTCGATCGACCGAGTCTAGATCCACCACCCCCATTCGTTAAAGGACGATCCTCGGGATTTTCGCGGAGACTGGCTGCGATCGGATTGCAGGTTGGCCGGCAGTCAACAAGCAGTCGCCTCTTTTTCTGGCAGATGCTGGTTCATGCCATCGGCTATGCGAGAATGCCCAGAGACTGCATTGCATTCCAGAGCCTCGACCCGACCCGCAACAATGATCGTAATGGATGTGCAAGACAACAGATTCTCACGTGACATCAGACTGGTCATTCCAGACGGTCAATGCAGCTTACCGGAACAGGAAGGAGCTTAGTCCAACTTAAATTGCCGTCGGTCGATCGATCGAGTGAAAGAAATATTGGAAAGTAAAAAAAAAAAGCACTTCGATTCACGAATTCTACACCAAATCAGTGAAAGAACCACAAATCGTGCTGCAATTCTCCGAGTTATGCTAACAATGCACAAATTGGGGAAAAGCAACAAGACTTTTTTCGCCTTGTGCAAATTGACTATTTGACTAATCCACGCACTTGCTGCGCGCCACTCTTGGGGGATCGTCTGTCAATGGAAGCAAATCCCGAAACACCCACGCTTCGGGATTTGAATCTATGGACCTCGAGGCTGAGTAAGCCCGCCGCTGCTCACTCACTCACCAGTCCAATCCAAATCAAACTACAGCCCAGTTCGCCCGATAATGCTACTGTGTACGAGTATATCAGACCACTCTTAGGATCTGTCGATTTACCCACCCAACCTCCCCCCCGATTCGGTTGGCTACCCCGGAAAGCTCCTGTATGGTTATTTCTGCGTGTTTCCCGTCCCATTCTCCCTAGTAGTCCTCGAGTTATGCGCTCCGGGAGAACCTCTATTTAGATCGTGGATGATGGTAGCACGCCTTGCGGCCGTTGCATGATCTTCCTACCTACTCCTACCCGCTGCAGCTGTGTGTCTCCAGTTCACGCCCAAAATGGCCCTGGACGATTCCCAGCAGCCGTACCAAGATGATGGAGTCACGGCAGTTACACAGCCTAGAGCTTCCAAGCCCGCGGTTGTCCGCAAGAAATTTGCAAAGCCTCCAGTCAAAGTAGCGTGTCTTGCGTGGTAAGTGGCGTCGCATCCACCTGGAACTTTTGTGCAAGCACTGAGCTTGGTTTTTGTTGCAAGCGACTTTGAATCTTCTCGTCTTGCCGTTCATTGCGACTGATTGATTATCTATCTCAGTCGTGCTTCGAGAACGAGATGCGATGGACAAGACCCCTGTACAAACGTATGTATTCTCCCCCTCGCCAATTCGCAGTTTTCCAGGCCATAGCCTTCATCTAAAGGAGACACACTGTGCCTTGCTCTGTTACTTCATCCTTTCATGATGGCTCCTTAAACAACCGCAGCGTCTTGCTCAAGTATATGCTGATTTGATCGTGGTGGCGAAGTGTCTTAGCAAAAAGCGAAAGTGCTCTTACCTACCCAGTAAACGAGGAGGTCCTCGCAAAAAGAAGAAGCTCTCGATTCCTTCGGACGAGGCTGTTCAGCAAGATGATGAGCAGAGCGCCATGATCACCCCGCCATCTTCTGGGTTCAATGATGATTGTAAGCAAGCTGACCCAAAATTGCCAGTTCCTCCCAGCTAACGACGATTCAGCGCCGGAAATGTTCGGTCAGATTGACGTATTGTCAATTCCGGGGGCGGGGCTCAGAAGCTTGGACTTTCCTTCGGATGTGCACTCGATGTTCACAGATCTGTTCGCCCCTAATGGCGAGAACAGTATCCCAGTACAGATGGAACCAACCCCCTCGCCATCGAATGTCCCCTCGCAGTCTTTGGTCAGAACTTATGGCAGTGAAATAGAAATGTGAGTAACCATCGTTTGAAGCGAGCTTATTACGTCCTCTGACTTCGAAAACAGCTTGAATGCTTACTACGAGTTTGTTCATAATTATTTTCCTATACTTCCGCCGAGATTCGCTCCTCGCGTTCCGGATCGACCTTTGGACGGCGTTGGTTCATTCACAGAGTCACCCTCAGAAGAACCCGTGATACCCTACCGGTCTCAATCCCCTCTCAGCTGTGCAATTTCAGCTATATTAGCCTTAGTGCCGCATCCGAACGATATCGAATCGTCTAGCCCCGCCTCTGTGGTCCGCCGCCGAACATACGCTCAGATGTTTGCGCAAATGGCGAATCTGACTATCGAGACCGACTGCGAGCTGCAAGCCTCGACCACTGATCCTGCACTGGCGCTGTCCAACGACCGACCTCTTATTGACCGAGCTCCTTTCCATCCTCAAGCGCCCGTGGAGCTTGAGAGCATTCTGGCACTTTTGGTCCTTTCAGTCTACGAATACACTCAACGGGGAAACCTGTTGAAAATGCGGTACCGTGCCGGTCAAGCCTTGTCTATAGCTTTGGATATGTCTCTGCATTCACTCAGCGACGATTACGATGAGTTTTCTGAAGCTCGGAGAAGAGCTTGGTGGATGACGGTGAGAAGTTCGTACCCTGGTTCTATGGCATTTGTGTCTGACTCTCAGTAGTACTATTGTGTTCTCCAAGGTTCCATTGTTAGCGCCACGGTAAGTTCACTGAAGAGTTATGCATGTCCTTCGAGGAAGTGGCTAACACGCGAGTTCTCAGCCGCTTTCCATCGTCGCCAACGATCCCCAGTTTGTCACGCCGTATCCACGCTTCGCAGCCGACCCCGATGTGAGTCTACCCAATTTCTTGGTAGCACTTCGATCTCTGACCCTTTCTGCAGGGCTGGTCCGTCTTGATTCAAGCTCAGCAGGTGCTCGTATCGGCAACCCAATTCGTCGTCGACCTCAACAAATGCGTCTCAACCAGAACGAACATGCAGTACATCTTTGAAAGAATGCAACAACTCGATTCATGGGCCAGTTCCGCATTAGCACAGTCAAACTTACTCCCCATAGTTCCGCAGACCATGTCTTGTCGAGGAGATTTAGAGTCCATCACAGCTCAAAGTATACGCGCGATCTCGCGCATCAAGCTGTCAAGGTAAGAGTCAAATCTCGCACATCGACATTTCACGTCCGTGCTAACCAACATTGTAGCGCACAAATCAAGATTCACCGCTTCAGAGCATTCTCAGATATACCCATTTTCATCAAGAAGCACTGCGATCTAACCGCAGCCACCACCACCACCACCACCACCACAAACTCCATACCAATTGAGACCATCGAAAGCCCAGCGACCCAAGACGGCATCACCCGGGTTGGTTGCGCCTGCAGCAGTCTCGACATGTTCCAGCAGTCCTCATCCGACTATACCCCTTCCTCCGCATCCTCGACCTCGTCCGATTTCTCCTCCTTACCACCTCAGTACCCATTCACCAACGAGTTCCCATACAGCAGCCAACACTCGGCCAAAATCTGTCTCCGGGCCTCCCTCCTGATCTCGCAGATGTTCCACTGTCTCCCGATCCCGCAGCCGCTGCTCTCGGACGATCGCCAACCATCCCCACCGGGTCTCCAGCAGCTGCTTCCGAGCCAACTTCCCCGCACCATGCCGTCGTTCGCATGCTGTCTCATGCAAGGCAGCTACGCCATGCTGATGATTTTCTACAAGGCCCGCGTCGAGAAACAAATGACCCCACCGGAATACGGCGGCGGCAGCAGCAGCAACCTGAGCACCAGCCCGTCCGACCGACTCATCGACGAGATCCGACAAGGACTGGAACGGATCATCGCCGCGGCGACCAATTACGCGATTGCTTTCGAGGCGCTGGACGGCATGAGAGGTACGCATAACCCCTACTTAACGCCCCGGGCCCGGCGATCGTCGCGCTAACAAACTGCTAGACGAAATCGAAGGTGCATACCATACGGCGTTTATTCAAGCATGAAGAGAGAGTCCAAATCTTTCCCCCTCAAAACACAACCAACCCACTATCTAATTCCTCTCGACTCGTACATACATACATACACCCTTCTCCTTCCTCAAACCTAATGAGATCCCTTTATCTACATACCTTCTGTAGAATTTCTTCTCTCTCTCTCTCTCTCTCTCACACACACACACACACACACTCTCTCTCTCTCTCTCTCGTCAACCTCAAAAAGCAAAGCAAACGAATTCTGCATGCCCTGGCGTTATTTTAGAACGAGTCCGGATATATGTGTGGACTGGCCTAGTGAAAGATTTCGGACTTAATCCAAGGAACTAAACCATTTATCTTACCTTGTATGCTCTTCTGGGAAAACATCTAATAATGAACTACAATTCCAGGCTTTGTGTGCAATGCGTTGCTGGTTTGACTACCGTGGCAATGCGGTGCACCGCATTCTGCAATATCAAGTGTTCGTAGATAATACTACTTACTCACTTACCATACAACCCGATACCTATACCCCATACCCCATACCTCATACCTCATACCTCATACCTCATACCTCATACCTTACACCTTGAACCAAACCAAAATAACCAACCCCAAACCAAGTCTCAGGTCTCGAGAATCAAGAACCGAATATATTCCACAAGGACCCCCAACCTAAGCTAAGATAGTAAATTCTTTGAAGCTAAAAAATAAGTAAAAAAAGTTCTATGTTCACAAACCCGCCCGCTTATTTTCGAACCCGCAAAAGAAAAAGAGGCGTAACGAAACGAGAAGAGGGGAAATGATGGCTACAGCTTCGACCGGATCCCCTCCAACCGGAACTTCACATCCTTCAGGACCTTACTGGAGGGTTTCCAGTCGTCGAACTGTTGGAGCAGTTCCATGGTCTCGGTCGTCAGCTCGCGGCGGACGTACTCCTCCTCGAGGAGGCCGCGCATGGCGAAGGGAAGAATGTACGGGTTGGCGGGGGAAGGGGGTTGCGTGCGTTTGATGTCGAGGAGGGTTTTGGTGGTGGCTGTTGTTGTGAGCGGGAGGGCGGTGGTTTGGAGGGCGAATTGGATGGCGAGGCTGATTTTTTCTCGCGTGTTAGCATTTGACTTGTTGTTTGTTGTTTGTTTGGGAAAGGGCAGAACGTACCGGTAGACTGCGGGGTCGTCGTAGAGGCGGGAGTGGCCTTCGCCGGTGTAGAGACTGCCGGCTAACGGGGAGCTGAGTTCGCGGATGAGGCCGTGGTCTGCAATACCGAGGTTGCGGAGCTTCAGGACGAAGCCGACTAGGTGTGAGAGACTGAGAGTGGTCAGTGTATGCTGAAGTTTATCATGGGATTGAGGGACAGTGGATAGTGGCATACAAGCTCGGGGCGTGGACCCTGCCGTCGACAAAGGCTGCGCGGTAGATATACGGATGGGACACGGGGGTAAATAGTGAGGACTGAAGCGTAAATAGGCTCGTTAATAACTGGAGCATCAAACAGCGTGAGAAGGTTGCGTACCTCTAAGGAAACCAACTGATCGTCAATGCTGCCAATGTACGATATTCGCACCCCAAAATCTAAGCATGTGCGCAATGCCGCTTCATAATCCCTCGAAACCTGACTGTAGGGCAGGGCAAATTCGAAGAGCTCGCCCGCTGAACCACTAATCCATCGTGATCTGTAGTCGGTGAACGGGCCCAGATTGACGCCCGCCATGGCGCATATACCAACACGGGATGCATTGATGCAGCCAAAGGATATCAACTTGGCAACGAGCATGATTGCCACCGGAACACCCTGGCTGTGACATGCAATCAGGATGAAGTCCGCCGTTCGGATCTCCTCCATCCAGTTTAATAGCAGCTTCCATAACAGTTCCACGCGCTCGGCTATACGGCCCTCGCCTTCCAGGGCAATTTTGCCTACGTCGCATTTGTAGCCAAAGTCCTCTGCCCACTTGTGTATGGCTTCAGCTGCCATTGTTGAGAATCTGATCGATGTTCCGGTTGGCTGTCCGAGAACACTCCGTATCAGAGGAGCCGGGAAATATCCGTGTACACCTATGGCGAGTGCCTTTTTGATATGCGGCGGATCCCGGACCATGTAAACATGCTTGTTGTCGGCTTGTTTGTTATAGTGCAAGTAGCGCCCTATCGTCTGGAGTATGCCCGGCTTCTCTTCCAAGGCAAATGTGTCCTCGAACCGCGGAAGCACTTGGTTCGGTAGAACCTTCTGGAGTTGTTTTGTTGCTACAGTCTCAGACGGCCCTTGGCTTGGAGCGTTGACATCTGCTTCGGCTCGTGCGGTAGCTTTGTCAAGTAAATTAGCAGTACTCTTAGAAACCTTAGCTTTGACGCTTCCTTTCTTCACCACCCCCACCCTAGGCTCATTCTCAGGCTCAGGTTCCACAGCAGGCTTCTTCGAAGGCTCTTGAGTCATGGAGGCTTCGGCTACCTGGGCATCTTGCGACTTGCCGGGTTCGGAATCCTTCGAAGCATCTCGAAACCAGAAGCTCCACCCGGAAGCCTTTGTATTCGGATCTAGTGGTTTAACTGGGCCATCTACCTCCCCTTGCATCTCATTCTCTTGGCTCGGTGCAGGTGCTGCATGCGGGACAGAAGATGTGGGTGTGTCGGTTCCGCTGGAGGCTTCGATGGGAGTATTTTCCGGGGCCTTTGAGGCGGACGAGCCATACCACATCTGAAGCCAAGACCGCTTCTGGGCTGTCCCTGAGACTTCAGATGTTTCGGCGGGCTGCTCCTGGTCTGCTTCTGTTTCTGCTACTGTTGGATTTTGGTCTTCTATCGTCCTTTCTTCCTCTTTGTTGTCTGGTGTTTCCGATGGTGGCTCCTCCTCCGGCTTCGCCATTTGGTCTTGTGGGCCAGATCTATCAGCCGTCGATGATCCATAGAGCCACGAAAACCATCCGCCTGCTTGGGAACCAGACTGTACACCGGAGTCTACACCTGTAGCACTGTCGCCCGCGACTGCTGTCGCGGGGGCTGTGTTTGACGGTTCGTTGCGCGTATCCTCCGCCACAGCTGAGCCTCTGTCACTGGGTGCAACCTCCTCGACTGGATTCGCTGCCACTGTAGTACGATCTGATCGGGCGTCGTCTGCCGGAGTCGACGCAGTACCATCTGAAGCTATATTGACTATGGTTGTGGTAGCGCTGGCGGGGAGGGAGCGGCTAGATGCAGTATCCTTTCGAGTCAACTGGAGGGATGGATGGCGAGACTGCCTGGGGGCCACGCTTAGTTGGGAAGTTGACGAGGAGGTGAGTCGCGGGAGTGCTGGGGATATGTTCTGGGCGGCGGAAATGCTCTCACGGGCAACCTCGGTAACCGGGGCGGCTTTGGATGCTCTTGGAACGGCCGGCCAGGCAGTTGGGTACCAGCTCTGTGTCTAGGAGAGAGGCAGATATCAGCTACACCAGCCATGGCTCCATAGTTGTTCCGGCAACGCTATGGGGAAATCCGAGACTCACCACACCGCTTCCTCTCTTCTGCGCACGAGCACGTTGTTTGGCTGTGGAACCGGAGACTGCACTGTCATTTGAGGATGTGGTCGAACGGGCGTCCGCGCCTGGCGGGCTGGGCTTTACTCTCTTACGAGATCCCATGGATGGCATGGAAGTTTAACAGTGGCATCACCAAAGACGTGGGGTGGGAGGGTGTATGAAATCGATATATTGCGGGTTAGTGGTAGGGGGTAGGTGGGGATCGAAGCATAAAGAAGCCTTCTTGTTTGAAAAGAGTGGGAACGAGGCCTTTGTACTGTAGGTAAGTATGGAAGATGAAAGACCTAGCAGGCTAATACTAGTTAGTATACTAGCAGCGAGGAGTGATGCCTGCTGGAAGGGGGAAGGTTGAGGATGAGAAGTGATTTGGTTGGGGGTCCGAGTTGTTCTCAAGGCCGAGGGGCGATTGGCCTGCAACTCCTCCTTCCTTCCGTAATAACAGTCAGTAAGTATACTATCAGTTAGTTACAGTACGGTGATATCACGTCACATGCTGACCGTTCTCTTGGTTGCGTCCTCAGGCACATAAGCAGAGACAAACGCATCAAACGCATCAAACAGCAACTCATTATGTGGCTCAGTCCCGCACCGCCACACCCAAAGACCAGAAAGGGGAAATTTTTTATTGTAAGTTTCGGGGCGGACTGTGGAGAACCTTTGAAAGGCCTGGCTGGCTGACTCGATCCATTCAAGCCCGCCCGATAACTTTTTTTTCCCGTGCATAGAGAGAGAAAGCAATCATCCGCCCACCGGTTACTCCAACCAACCCTTCTCTTTCTCTCTCTTTACCACCTCTTTCTTTTTTATTTCGCCAGTCCGGGTCTTGACGTCGAGTCTTTCTCGACCACCCGCTTATCACAATGGCGATTCAAAAGAAGGTATTGTGGAATCCCACCGCGTCTCCAGTGAAGCAATCTGAACTGACAACAACCAGCACGGTAAAGGTCGTTTGGATAAGTGGTATCGCCTTGCGAAGGAAAAGGGATACAGAGCTAGATCTGCGTTCAAGTTGGTCCAGCTCAACAAGAAGTATGGTTTCTTGCAGAAGAGCAAGGTCCTCATCGATCTTTGCGCGGCGCCCGGTGTAAGTAACCAACCTACGGAATATCTTTCGATTCGGTTTCTATTGGGCGTTGAATCTGACTCTCTCCTCAATAGGGTTGGTGTCAAGTCGCTGCAGAATGTATGCCCGCCCAGAGTATCATCGTCGGTGTCGATCTCGCTCCCATCAAGCCTATCCCCCGTGTGATCTCGTTCCAAGCCGATATCACGACCGACAAGTGTCGCGCCACCCTTAGACAGCACCTGAAGCACTGGAAGGCAGATACGGTCCTTCACGATGGTGCCCCCAACGTCGGTACGGCGTGGGCGCAGGATGCCTTCTCCCAGTCCGAGCTGGTGCTGCAGTCCATGAAGCTGGCGACCGAGTTCTTGGCCGAGGGCGGTACATTCGTGACCAAGGTATTCCGATCGAAGGACTACAACCCCCTGCTGTGGGTCTTCAAGCAGCTCTTCACCTCGGTCGAGGCGACGAAACCCCCCTCTTCCCGAAACGTGTCGGCCGAAATCTTCGTCGTCTGCCGCGGCTACAAGGCCCCCAAGCACCTGGACCCCAAGTTCCTCGACCCCAAGCACGTCTTCGCCGAGCTCGCGGACCCGACTCCCAACAACGAGGCCAAGGTCTTCAACCCGGAGAAGAAGAAGAGAAAGAGAGAAGGTTACGAAGAGGGCGACTACACACAGTTCAAGGAATGCTCGGTCTCGGAATTCATCAACACCACCGACCCGATCGCCATTCTCGGTTCATACAACAAGCTCAGCTTCACACAGACCCCCGGTGGAGATCTCGCGCTCGCCACCTTGGATCGACTAGAGGAGACTACAGACGAGATCCGCAAATGCTGTGATGATTTGAAGGTCCTGGGTAAGAAGGAATTCCGGAACTTGCTCAAATGGCGTCTCAAGGTCCGGGAGAAGTTCGGCCTCGTCATTAAGAAGGGACAGCAGCAGAAGGGCGAAGAGGCCGAAGAAGTTGCGGAGATCGCCCCCATGGATGAGGAGTTGGCTATCCAGGAAGAACTGCTCCGACTCCGCGAGAAGGAAACCTCCAAGATGAAGAGGGAAAGACGCAAGGAGAACGAGAAGAAGCGCAAGGAAATTGTCCGTATGCAGATGCACATGACGACGCCCATGGACATCGGTATGGAACAGCTGGGACCCGGCGGAGACGATGCGACCTTCTCCATCAAGCCTGTCGACCGGAATAATGCCCGTGATGTCATCGCATCTGGCAAGGAGGCTACAATCGAAAGCGACAGCGAGAACAGTGACGACGAATCCGATATAGAGGAGAGCGACGAAGAGGGTGACCGCCTTGAGCGCGAACTGGACACTTTGTATGAGCGATACCAGGAGCGCAAGGAGGATAAGGACACTAAGCTGCGGGCCAAGAAAGCTAGAAAGGGCTACGAGGCTGACGAGTGGGATGGCTTCTCGGATGAGGACAAGGGAGATAGCGATGATGAAGAAGAGGAGGAGACTAATGCTGCGGTAAATGGCGTGCAAGCACCGAAGTCTGGATCGCTTTCCAACCATGCCGCGCTGTTCTTTGACCAGGACATGTTTGAAGGTCTCGAGGATATCGACGATGTGGATGACGAGGAAGAGGAGGAGGAAGACGATGATGAAGAGGAAGATGGAGAAGATGAAGAGGAGGAGGACTCTGAGGAGGATTCTGAGGAGGACAGTGCTGTTGAGGTCGACAACCGTCGTAAGACCAAGCAGGCCAAGAACTCGAAGAAGAAGGCCGAAGACTCCGAGGATGAGGAGCCTGTTCAGCTCGAGGACCCGCGGAAGGCCAATGGACAGCTTGGTAAGTCTACAGATTCATGTCTACTGTCTGTCAAGGCTATGAATACTAACATGTACACTACTAGACATCGATATCATCACCGCAGAGGCCATGGCTCTGGCGCAACAGATGGCTACGGGTGAAAAGAAACAGAATGACGTGGTTGACGATGGGTTCAACCGCTACGCCTTCCGGGATGTCGACGGTCTGCCGGAGTGGTTCCTTGACGATGAGGGCAAGCACAGTGCCCCGAACCGCCCCATCACCAAGGCGGCAGCTGCCGCCATCAAGGAGAAGTGGCGTGCTATCAACGCTCGCCCTATCAAGAAGGTGATGGAGGCCAAGGGCCGGAAGAAGTTCAAGGCTGCCCAGCGGTTGGAGAAGTTGCGCAAGAAGTCCGCCTTGTTGGCGGATGACGAGGCTCTGAGTGAGAGAGACAAGGCGCAATCGATTGCGAAGCTGATGGCGCGTGCCACGAAGAAGAAGCCCAAGACGCAAGTGAAGCTGGTGGTGGCCAAGGGTGCCAACCGGGGTATCTCGGGTCGTCCCAAGGGTGTCAAGGGTCGGTACAAGATCGTGGATTCCCGTATGAAGAAGGATATCCGGGCGCAAAAGCGGGTTGCGAAGAAGAAGCAGAAATAGAAGCGCCGAGGGATTGTGTAATGGTGCACAAAATGATGGTTGTTCGCAGTCTGGATTCTTGTAAATACCCTCATTCAAAATATCACGATACCTACTGTTGTGCATTTGTTTTGCATGTGTTACTGGGAAGGTGTATGTACTGTACTGTACTGTATGTAGTCGATAAAGAGTGCTGCACCCACCTTGTCTTGTGTGTCCAAAGGTGAGGTGAAACAGAAACCCATAGAGATGCAGAGATGCAGACTAGACTGACTCGTATCTCACTATTCTTTCACGCTAAGGTAAGGGCGCAGCTGAGAGGATCGGATCCGAAGTGGCGGGCGGCAACTGGCATCGGACGGGGTCTTGGTGGACTCGAGGGAAGAAGGAAGAAGCATCGAGGATCGAGTACTCATCACCGCCCACCTCTTCTGGATATCATTTTCGAGCACCTCCTACTGGAGTTGCTCGGCTCCGCGGGTTTTTTTAATTCCCTTCCTCTTTCTCTCTCTCCCTCTTCGCCGCCCACCCGCCGCCCGCCGCCCGCCGTCAACCCGCTTTGTTTTGTACGGCAACCTTACATTCTGCATATTATTCTTCACATCATTTACATACATACACTCTTTACTTCTTGTCCTTTTTGCTTTGGGGAAAAGTCCCCCGTACATATGTTGTACCTCGTATCATAGGTTGTCTTTTTCTACTCCCCCTTTTTCCACTTGTATAGTCAATACTTGCATTCACCGTTCACCGTATTTCTTGCATCATATCACCTTCTCCCGCTCTCATACAAAAAAGTGCGACTGCGACCCGCCCGCCCGCCGCCGCCTCCTGCCCCTCCAACCCTCATGGGATTTTTCGACCACCTCCAAAAAGGAGGGGCCTTTTCACTGCAGCCCAAGAAGCCTCAGATTCGCAAAGTCGTCCAGACCCGAACCGCTCCTCCTACCTCCCGCTCTCCCTCGCATACGCCAGGACACAATCCTTCCCCCCGGACGCCATCCGTCCAGCTCAAAACTCGAGAAGCGTCTGCCAGTCGGTCCGTCTCGAGGGATCGCAACGATCTCCCTCCCTCATCTTCGAAGCGCCGGCACGGCACCCCCGGCCAAGGCAATCGCAAGCGTCAAACCCCCGAATTGCGCCTCTCCAGCGATGATGACGCCAGCAGCGACTCCGATACATCATCCTTCGAGGTCCGTAAACGGGCCCGGACGGGCGACAGCGCGGAGCCGGACCCTCACCGGCGCGTGCGCTCACTGAAGGCTTTCGTCGAGGACAACGGCAGCAGTGGTGGTGGTCCCAGACGGCTGCCCATGATCCATGCGGCGGAGATCACCTCGGCCCAGAAGGAAGGGAATTTCAAGCCGGCGTTTGGAGCGTCGAGGCCGTTGCCGGAGATTTCTTTGCAGTATCCGAGTAACTCTCCGAAGGAAAGGTATGAGAATTTCCATCCGGTTCTTTCCTCGAATTTTCTGCTTTTCGTCCCATGTTTTGCGTTTCGTCTGAACGTCGGCCTAACATGATTTTTCCGGCCTGTAGGTATAACCTTGTCGTTCCCCGCGACAACGACGATTTCAAACCCATCGACGATATCGTTCAAGTCATCGAGATTGTGGCTCAGAATTTCATCCCGGAAGACGAGGTGGGCGAGTTTGACGATGAGACGAATGGAATCAAGCGCCGACTCCGTCGAGCCCTGGCGCAATCGTCCGAAGCGCAGTTCCGGGAAACGGTGGCCGACTTTAACCATGCTATTACACGATTGAGGCGCAACGGGAGCATTGCCAAGAAACTCGATTCGATGGGCCGTCTCAATTTGCCGCTGGTGGAGAGGATCTTGAACCAGATCTACTCGCGAACCGTCTCGCCTCGGGTCGAATCACTGCGGCAGTATGAAAATGGGACGGATAACGTTTATGGGGAGCTACTTCCTCGATTTATTAGCACCATCTTCAAGGAGACGGGTCTGAAGTCCGGCCAGGTCTTTGTGGATTTAGGTTCTGGCGTGGGCAATGTGGTTTTGCAGGCAGCGCTGGAGATCGGGTGCGAAAGTTGGGGCTGCGAGATGATGCAGAATGCCTGTGAGCTCGCGGAACTTCAACAAGCCGAGTTCCGCGCGAGATGTCGGCTATGGGGCATTGCCCCTGGGAAAACGCACCTGATCCGCGGCGACTTCTTGAAGCAGCAGAGCATCGTCGATGTTTTGAAGCGGGCGGACGTCGTCCTGATCAACAACCAGGCGTTCACCCCCCAGCTGAACAACGAACTGATCAACCATTTCCTGGACATGAAGGAGGGCTGTCAGATTGTGTCACTCAAGTCGTTTGTCCCGGCGGGCCACAAGATTCAAGCCCGCAACCTCAATTCGCCCATCAACCTGCTCACAGTCAAACAACGAAATTACTGGTCCAATAGCGTCAGCTGGACCGATGTTGGCGGCACATATTTCATCGCCAGGAAGGATAGTTCCCAGCTGAAGGCCTTTGTTGAAAGCCAAGGGTGAACGGTTCTTGGCCTAGCTGCAACAAACGGGTGCATGATTGTCACGGCAACTCTTGGGTAACGACCGCGATGATTTCTTTCTTGTATCGATGGCTCCCTGGACACACGTGATATATATGTCCAATTTTTTCTTTCTACATAGTTTTCATTTTTCCAGATTCCTCCTTGGGTGTCCCTGAGTTCGATTTTGGGAGGAATACCCCGGGGCTCCAGGCATGATACCACCTTTTTCTCTTCGGACCGGCATCTATACTAAACCAGCGCTTTGCTATTTTTTCATCCATCGTCAGTTTCATTTTCCGCTCTTGGTCCAGTTTGAATGTTTAGGTCATCGCGAGTGAGCCTGGATCTGTCTCTCTGGACCAACTGCTACTGTGAATAACTAGTTCATGGGTATCATTGTGCATAGAAAGCTCTGACACATATTCTAAAGAAATCCCGCCCAGCTCGATGCCTGGGTCTGGGGGAAATGATCATCAAAGCAGAAAATCTTCTGGCAGCGTGAAATAAGAAATCCCCACCCAGTAATGTCCCTCCCCCATAACCTCTGGGGTGTCTAGTTCTACGAGAACCTCGAATTCGCATTCATGGCATCCGCCTCCTGCCCTACCCTGGCCATCCAGCGATCCACCAAGTCCTGGTTTTCTTGCTGGAACCGCGCGGACCGCTCCTCGGCCATGTTCAGTTGGAGATTCAGCGATGCCATCTCGTCTTGGAAATCCTGTAGCCACCCGCATAGGTCAGTCAGTCAGTTACTCGGCTCAACACTCCCCCCTCCCCTTCTCCTAAAAAAAAATAAATCAAGTAAGTGGGTGAGTGCAACCATACCTCCAACAACTTCGCCTTCCCCCGCAACTCCTCATCCCGATCCTTCAACCGCATCTGCAGATGCGCGACCTCCTGCTCGAACGCCTGGAGGCGTCGCCCGTCGTGGGCGTGGCGCTTGCGGAGGCGCTCCAGCTCCGCCGTCATCCGGGTTAGCTGGGCCTGCAGCTCGGAGCGAGATCGTTGCGCCGCGGCGAGCGACGCGAGGAGGGTTTCTTGTTCTTGTTGCGAGGCGGGTGGTGTTGGTGCGGATGGGGTTGGGATGGTGGTATTGGGAACAGGTACATGGTGTTTTGTGGTTGTGGTAGCATGCGGACTTTCGCCCGCTGGACTCTGTAGGCTGGCGGTGGTGGTGGTGGATGCAGTTCGGTCGGCGAGTTGGGTATCTTTGGTTTTGTTTGGGGTTAGATTTGCGGGGAATTTACTACAACTGTCTGGGTGGTGGGGGACGGGGGGGTTATGCTGGTTGGAGAATCTACTTTGCTGGATACAGGCAACGGGAAAGGGGAAAGGGGAAAGGGCGTACAGGCATCGTATATTGCGGTGTTGGCTTTCTCGCGGCGATCGCGAGATGCCAGTGCGGCGGAGTATTCTTCCCGCCAGTGGGCCATTTAGTGATACTGTAGATAGTGTGGTGGTGATGGTGGGTGATAAGGAGGGGTGAAAGGTGGTATTGGTTTTTGTCTATTTGATAAGGCAGTCATGGATACATGATGGTGTGTTGGAGGTGTTGGGTTAGGGGTTGAGTGGATCTGGTGAGGTTTTTGATGGTGTAGGTCCCTTGGGAGGCATGAGGTTGAGGGATGATAATCGGTGATGATGACGATGGACGATATGATGGATGGATGGGTGGGTAAACAATGAAAACATGCAATCAATACCTTGACGAATGCTGCAAGCAGACCGCCATCTCCACCGCCCGGACGGACCCTCGTGCATCATCTTGCCCGCCCCATCCACTCATTCCATTGCAGTTCACCGTCCACCGTCCACCGTCCAGGCCCAACCACAAACTAAACTACTAAACTACACTAATTAATCTCCCTCTCCTCTGCTTGTTGTGCCCCCTTCACTCCACTTACCACCTCCCACCACCAAAAATAAACAAATCCGCCACTTTCCCTTCACCCTATCCTCCCTCGGCATCTCGTCCCAATCGCCCTTCTCCTGCCGCTGGCGTTTCCTCCATACCGCATAGAACCGGTAATACCTTACGCATCTCCACCATGTCGTCACGGAAGAAGGTCTTGTTGAAGGTAACCCGCAACAAAACATCCCCGAAAATAAACCCCTCAACGTCGCGAAAACTGATCTTCGCTCTTGCTTGTATCTAGGTGATCATCTTGGGTGATAGCGGTGTCGGTAAAACGAGTTTGATGAACCAATATGTCCGTGACTCTCTCTCTCTCTCCTCCCTCGCAGCAGCAGCAGCAGAACTGTTTCACTGACTTCCTTTTCCGCCCAATAGGTCAACAAGAAATTCAGCGCGAGCTACAAGGCCACAATTGGCGCCGATTTCCTCACCAAGGAGGTCTTGGTGGACGACCGTCTGGTGACGATGCAGGCATGTTCTCCTCGCTTTCCCAAATACCAGCCTCCTAGCTCGCCGTCGTTGTCAGTTCTGGCACATGCATATTGACTGCTTGCGAATCTAGATCTGGGACACTGCGGGACAGGAGCGCTTCCAGTCCTTGGGGGTCGCTTTCTACCGAGGTGCCGACTGCTGCGTGCTGGTATACGATGTGAACAACTCCAAGAGTTTCGAGGCGCTGGACAGCTGGCGCGATGAGTTTTTGATCCAGGCTAGTCCTCGGGATCCGGAGAATTTCCCGTTTGTAAGGGATCCCCCCTCTTTTCGGGTGGTGTGTGGTGCGGTCACTGACACTCTGCTGGCAGGTGGTGATTGGTAACAAGATCGATGCGGAGGAAAGCCGACGGATGATCTCCTCCAAGCGGGCGATGACCTTCTGCCAGTCGAAAGGCAACATTCCCTATTTCGAGACCAGCGCCAAGGAGGCGATCAACGTGGAGCAAGCCTTTGAGGGTGAGTGTCCCCGCCCGGTCGGTTTGCCCTTGTGTTACGGCTGTACTGACCCCTCGTCCCACGTAGTCATTGCTCGAAGCGCTCTAGCCCAAGAAGAAGCTGAAGAGTTCAGCGGGGAATTCAGCGACCCGATCAACATCCACCTGGACGGTGACCGCGACGGTTGCGCCTGTTAAATACCCTAATCGCTAGACCATGATTTTGGAACGATACTACAACTCCTGTCTTAACTTGAACTTGAAGAAATGCTGCGCTTCGATTGGTTTGGTTTGCGAACTACGATCTTCTTGCTCTTCTTTCTATAGCACCTGTATATACATTGCGGGTGCCCTTCATGTATCACGCTCCTGTCTCTTTTTGCTGGTTTGTTGCTCGCATGGGTGTTATTGATTGTTTCTTTTTCTGTGTGTGTTTCTCTCATACTGTAGGAGTCTGAGGGGGGAATTCACAAATTCACACTGTTACACTACTAGCCAGTAGTCAAGTTACTCTTTAGTTGGTGGGTTTGACAGTCGCGTGCTTATCGAGGTTATCTCGTGATGCTTGGCGGGATGCTATCGGGTTACACCGCCCTCTTCTCAACATTAGTAGTTATCAGTACTCCGTAATTTCCCCGGTAAATCCTCCCTGCTTATCGCACCGCCTGCTGCCATTTGGATTGGCGTATTGCTGTCGACGCGCTAAGCGGTCTCACTCCTTGCGGCCCTCGCTACTGCCCTCATGCCTAGGTAGGTCAAGTCGATGACCCTGTTACCCGGTTTTTGTCGGCACGGTCTCCGGAGCGGGTGTCCGTCGCGGTCGCCATTCCAATTGCGCAAGCGGGGAGGAAGAGAGAGGGTTTGAGTTCTTATCTCGACATCTCGGAACCAAACAAGAACGCAAGTCGCGTTTCCCCTCTTCGTGCCCTTCGTGCGGTGCGCTCTCAGCTTGAGCGAAACGCGCAAAACGCTCACCAACACACGCCTCCCACGGTAGTTCCGACAGTACAGGCTTCCTGCCCTCAAAATGGGGCCCTCAACATCCATCCCGCAAACCTCGGGCCTAACCCCGGGGGGTCGACGAACCCTCGGGATCGCATTGCTGCTAATCGTGGTGTTTCTCTGGACGGCCTCGAATTTCCTGGCCAGTGTACATACTCCTCCACCGAAATCCCTGACTTTTCCGGAGTCATGAGGGGTGGGGAAAGACGCAATTCGCTAACTTTGTGGTGGGTAGACCATCTTCGCCGACAACACCTACTCCAAACCCTTCTTCGTGACCTACGTCAACACCTCCATCTTCATCCTCCCGCTCGCCTCGATCATCGCCAGTCGGGTGTTCCGGCTCTGGCGCGCCGGCAAGCTGTACCGGATTCGGTCGGTGCAGAGTCTGTTGCAGCATCTTGATGCGCATGATAGTAGTCTGGATGGTGAGGGGCGCCGGATATTGGATCACGCGGGTGTCGAGGGTAGGAGCAGGAGTAGGAGTGCTGGTGCTGGCGGCAGCTGGGGTAGGGCGGGGGCCGGGGAGGTTCCGTCGGCCAGGTTGGGGTTGAAGGAGACGGCGAAGCTGAGTTTTCAGTTTTGTCTTTTGTGGGTGAGTTTTGCTTCCTTTCAGGTTTGGTTGAGGTCTGGGAGTGCTAACGTGGGTGGGTGGGTTTAGTTTACTGTAAGTGCGCCATGTTATTCTTGTTTGCAGGGAGTATGGAGGAGAGAGGAGTGTTGCGGGGGACCGGACATGTGATTGACCGTGGGAGGTAGGCCAACTACTTTGCCATGGCATGTTTACAGTATACAACGGTGGGGAGTACCACCATTCTTACCTCCACGAGTGGTACGTCTATTGCAGGGCAATATCCCCACACCCACACTCTGCAAGACTGAAAACCTGCTGACGAGCAAAACCAGGCGTGTGGACCCTCATCTTCGGCGCCCTCATCGGCGTCGAACGCTTCACGCCCCGCAAACTCCTCGGCGTGATCGCCTCCCTCATCGGGATCATCATCATCTCGCGCCTCGACATCTCCTCCCCCTCCCCTGCCCCAGACGCAGACCCGAATCCCAACCCCAATCCCACCTCCACAGGAGGAAACAGGAGCATCTTCCCCCCCAAAGCCCCTTACGAAATCGCCCTCGGCGACGCCATGGCCGCCTTCAGCGCCGTCATGTACGGGGTCTACACAATCGTCCTGAAAAAACAAGTCGGCGACGAATCCCGCGTCAACATGCAGCTCTTCTTCGGGCTGGTCGGCTTACTGAATATGGTGCTGCTGTGGCCCGGTTTTCTGGTGCTGCACGCTCTGGGCATCGAACCCCTCGCGTGGCCCGACTCCCCCCGCGTCTGGACCATCATCTGGGTCAATGCGCTCGCCTCCCTCCTGTCCGACCTGTGCTGGGCCTACGCCATGCTCCTGACCACGCCGCTGGTCGTGACCGTCGGCCTGAGTCTGACGATCCCGCTGTCGTTGGTGGGCCAGATGGTGATTCAGGGGGAGTATGCGAGTGGGGCGTATTGGGTGGGCGCGGCGGTGGTGTTTGGGTCGTTTTTGGTGGTGAATCATGAGAGTCGTGTTGATGTGGACTCTCAGGGGGGGAATGGGGGGGATGGGGAGGAGAGCGGGAGGGGGAGGACGAGGGGGAGGACGGGGGCATCGTCGGGGTATGAGGCTATTTCGGCGGTGGAGGAGGGAGGACATCGCGATTGATGGTTTGTGTGAGGTTGTGTGGGGGGAAGGGTTGTGTTGGGCCCTTTTGGGGGGTGAAGTATAGACTGCATGCAGGTGGGGACTCACTGGCTATTTGTAGCGATTTTCTTTGGGTTTTTTTTTCGGTTCTTGGGCTCTTGGGTTCTAGGATGGTATCACTCACTTCTGGTAACAACAGGAGGGGATAATGAGGGTGCAGATTGGCAAATCATTACCGTGACTCTTTGTAGAAGTACGGTCTCTACCATGATCACTTGTAGAAGTACAACCGAGTGTATACACCTTAACCATATCAAGGTAAAAAGGAGGTAGATAGATAGTGTACTGTACCTCAACCACGCTGCAGATACGCAACTGACTGCCCAGCAGAAGAAATAAGAAGAGTGAACAGCAATCTGTCATAGATTCAAAATACCGGGCATCCACCACCCATCAGCATGACACAGCCAAGGACAAGCACAGCACCTAGCGATGACATTTCCAGGCCATCGCGATCAAATAAAGCTCCAAATCGAAACCAAGTATACAGGGACAGACAGCTACTACATCGCTCGCGCAAGAACCAGTGCCGAAGTACGGAGGCCAACCATCACTGCCATAGATGAAAGAAGAATATGTATCAATCCGGAAGAACTCGCACAGACATCCACCACATCAAGACAATACAAACAGGGGCGGGCTGGCTGTTCATCAAAAACAGAAAGAGAAAGTCAAGAAAGGCCAGGGGCTTGCTGTATAGCACAAGATACATAAGAAACATCAATATCACTGCAATCACAATCAAAGCCAGAATTGGTGAACGGGTTGGGCAAAGGAGTGGATGAAGAAGAGGAAAGAGTCGGTTAAACTCAGACAGGAAATCAATCTTGGCTGTTTCTGGTTGCTTGCTGGTTTGTTTTCCGTTTTATCTTTTTTACAATACTTCTGATTACTTGTTCGTTCTCCTCCTCCCTCAGGACAGTCCGGCTGCGCCTGTGGTCCCTGCTGGGGTAGGTTCGAGTTTCTTGCGCGCCACGAGGATACTCTTCAGCGATCCCAGCCATTTGGCCAGCGATTCCTCGTCCGTCGTGCAGAGGCGATAAGATTTCTCCTCCGCGATGATCTGCAGACAGAAATTCTTGGACCGGGACATGGGGTCGATTTCGGCGGCGTCAATCACTTGAGACATCGGGATGATTTTGATGGCGGAGTATTCCTAGGGTTGTGTTAGATACCATCGAAGTAAAACGAAAGAAGACCCCACCTGCTCATCCTTGTAAAACCCCAGGCCACTCGGTCGGAGAACCACCCATAACCGCTTCCATTGCCGCATAGAACCCTTGATCCGAAGACACTGGAGATAGCCGTTGCACACGACCCTTTCGGGATCACGCAGGACCCCGGCGTCGTTGACCCGGCCCGTCTCCCGCGCATTCGAGGCCGATCCCTCCGCAAGGGCCGATGCAGATCGATTGTGCGCCGAGGGCGACCGCAGGCGGACGCTGGTGTTGCTTCCTGGCCCGTCCGACCATTCCGAGTACGAGGTGATGTCGTTCGCCGAGTGGTCATGCGGAGAGGCGAAGCGCCTCGACTTGTACGCGGGCGACAGCGCACCCCCAAGTTCGGGAGAGCTGGGCCGTCCGCGCTGGTCGAAGTCCGAGTGGTCCGTGGTATCGTATACTCGACGCTTACTGCTGGCTGCCGCAGCATCCCCCGGTTTGGACAGCGCCAGAAAAGCCTCTTCGTCTTCGTCCATCCGTGTCTCGGCGCGGATGTATCTGATCCAATCCTCGGCCTCCTTGTCCGTCGCGGCCTGGAAGCGATAGTTTTTGGAAGGAGAGAATATGCCGAAGACGTACTGTCGGTTCGATCGGGGCGATCGGACAGAAGCGACAGCCGTTACTTCAGACAAGGTGATGGAGGCACGGAGGCGGGTGGTTTCTTCATCTTTGTACACGGAAAGAAGGTTTGGGCGGAGGACAAGGTAAGCCGGTTTCCACGAAGCTCTAAAGGCCTAGCAGCGGTATGAATGTTAGTGTCCTGCTGTTGATGAGCAACCAAGAAAGGCAAAGCGACTAACATGCTTGTGCTTCACACGACGAAACACTTTTCCAGTCTTGATGACTCGGTCGAACTCGAAGCTACCGTTCTCATTGACGGGTGAGAAGGTGTCAAGGTTGACATGACCGCTGCGATAGTGGGTGGGATTTGGGGTCGGCGATAGGAGCGTGGAGGACCTCTGGACTTGACCGTCGGGGAGATGGATCACGGGCGCTCGGGCGCTCCCCTCCATAATGGGGGGGCACGAGGTTGAGATAGCCTGGGTCATGATGCCTCACGAACCGGCCGGGGAGTGGTAAAAGGGATGTATGTGGAAGTCCGAGCCAGGATCGATCCGGTGTATGTGCGACGGTCGCGGAAACGGTTGCGACGGAGCAAAAGGAGCGTTGGGTTCTTCTATAGTTTCGTGGTGCGCATGTACGGGGGAGACCAAGAAGGGGTCGTCATTTAGATGGTCGAGTTGCAGTCGGAGCAGAGATGTCAGAAGCAGAGAGAGTATGTAATCGCGATCACAGTGAGTGGCGGATTGCTACCGTAAGGTCATTGAAGTTGGATCGAAAGGAGAGTTGGGCGAGTTGAGTTGCAGTGGGAAGCAACGACGATGAAGGAGGGAATGCGGCGGCGACGACAACAACAACAACAACAACATTAACATCAACAATGACAGGTATTATCAGCAAGTGGCATGACCCAGAGCTGCACTCCGTCACCTTTCGCTTTCATACATAATACATAGAGAGGGGGAAGAAGAGAAGAAAAAGAAAGCAAGAGAGAATAGAAGATCAAATGAAAGAGGAAATTCAAGGGTCTTTCTTTTCTTCGTTTTTTTTCCCTGGTGGAAGGAAAGGGGTATCTATCCGAGAATCTACTACGTACTACCAACTACTGACTCCTACTAGTAGTAGTTCGAGACTTGAACTCGAAGGGAGGGGGTCAACATTTTCCCTGCTTTGCGAACGGGACGCATGGACGTTTTTGTCCTCACTGACTATTCTATTAGAAGATCATCGGGTTCTAGTCCAGACGGTGTCCAGACGGTGGGGGGGCCAATTGTGAGAGTGAGACCTCGACTGACTCAAGCTCCTGCAGTTTCAGCTGGGATGAACCACGAGCAACGTCATCGCATCATTCATCTTCAGGATTGTTTTGTTGCCTTTGTGGTTGTGGTGATGGTGGTTGTGGTGGTTGCTGGAGTGTTTGAGAAGAGTCAAGGGGGTCGCAAAAGTAAGTTAGTTAAGCCTTGAAACGTTCCCCTCGTGGGACGCAAAACCGCCCGCCACGCCCCAGTCCAGGGGTTGAGAAAGGGCGGCTGATATCATGAATCATCTTCATGACGACAAGCTCGTCTTTTGAGTTTCTCCCTCTTGAATTTCCCCGGCATTCTTTGTTTATGTCTCCGTAGTTGCAGCAGTGTAAACAATCATCCAACAAGCATTGACTTCCTCGATCCGATGGATGCAAGAATCTCAAGGCTTCCTAAGAATAGCGGAATGCTGGAGTATGCAAGTGCCTTGACCGCAACGCAGATCCCGACGACCCGACATGGCAACACCAGATGCTTCAATCAAGGGTTCAAAGATACAGTAGTCTACATCATGTCCGTCCTTCACAGTTACTGTATGCAGGCTGCGTGTACCTACATAAAAGTCGCGAAGAGACCTACCAACCGACAGACCCTGGATGTGACAGCTCAACGGCGAAGCTTCGGGATGTCCTCAACTAGACCCGATCTTAGATCTGCACGATGTTCCTTGGCCAAACCTGATAACAGCTTCCAGTCGGACATGCAGATGCAGATACTCGGTGCCAGAGGCAGTCTCTCTCTCTCACACACAGAGCCTGAGCCGGTCGACAGAGATCTAAAAGGCCACCTTGACAGATCCCCTTAGGGCCTGCTGGCCTGGGGTCACGTGCGGGGCCAAGTGGACACTCAGGGTTCTGGATGCATAGATTACCGGTACGTATTACCACCAGGAGCACCACCAGCCCACTGTTACCGTACGTGACAAGCTCAGCCGTGTCGGCCCGAATCCCGTCGGATTTCCAGATCAGGAGAGGGTTCATTCACGGGCTCATGGAAGATGGATGGTGAGATAACATGCGACACGACACCAGCTGGGAAAAGGCGACCTGGATTAATCAGGTTGCTGTTGAGCTGAAGCTCACGGCTTTCCATGAGACGAGACTTATAATTGTTGTCACGACTACTGCAGGCACAGTTTCATTCCTTACTTACCATGTACTGTACATACAAATAGCGAGGGTGGCCAGCATGTCTGATCTCGGTCGATGGCTGTTCATGGCCTGGCTGAAAACGTAACCCACCCACACCATCTATCTTCGACTGGATTTGACCACTCGCACAAGCAAAATGGAGGGGAACGTATGGTTCTTATATTTGCCGTTCAAAATGGACCTGTCGAGCCTCAGCACGAAAGAAGTCGTGTGAAGGTCGGGCGTCGTCAGCCCCGGAAACTCTATGCGGCTATTTATGCTCTTAGGGCGTCGACACGACATCGTGGCTCTTTATATTGCAGAGCGGTTACGAAGTTAGCCTGCATCGACCTCTGACGACAGCTGCGCCAAGTCAAGTAAGAACCGTGAGAATGGGCGCCCCAAGATGATCACACCCAGGGTACAGTGTCGCAAGACGTAAATAGAAATTGTACTCCGTAGAGACTGGGTTGATGTTGATCGCGAACTCAAAACTGTTTTGATCCGGTCAAGATCGAGCGGCGACTGGCGTCTTCTGTCGACGTGTCTTGCAGGTTAAGCTTAAGGGTCTTCTGGCCTTTTATGCACCCAGGGGGGCCACGCTGCCTTACCCGTCGTAGACCTCGACTCTTATCCAGAAAGTGGATGTTGGTGATTCCACTGTGAATTGTGATCCCAGTTGCTGCGGGTATAGAGTAGGAGCACATCCAACACATGTTTGCGATTTCGATAACCAACTAATATGGTCAATTAATGATAGTAGGTACTAGGTAGGTAAGGTAGGGAGTAGTTAAGTAGAGTCGATAGCGAGGTCAGCATTAGCATTTTCCCGCCTGCAATTGCTTGATGCTGGCTGGTTGTTTTCGTTGGCTGGCTGGCTGGCTAAAGAGGGGGGGAAAGCCCATACTTAGTGTGAATGAAAAGGGACTGTCTTGATTACCAGATGCGTACAGTATTTATCGTGTCCACCAGGCCGCGACTCCCGACTAGATGGGTAAATTACCGTCTGGAACCCGGAAACCGCTTGCGCCTCCTTGGACTTGGCGGAAGTTCCAAAGCCATCCCCATCCCCAAATAATCCTGTCGAGCCTTCATTTCAATTCGGTTTGCCTCCCGCTGCTCTCGGCCTTCTCCTCCTCCTCCTCCTCCCCCCCCCCCCTCCCCTCCCTCTTCTTCTTCCTTTCCCCAGCCTCAGTTCAAACCCGCCATCTCGATTCATGATCCCGTCTACTGGCTCCGTGTTTTCGGCCTCATTGCTGCGGACCACTGTCCTTCGCGTTCCTGTCAACCTTCTCCCCGCCCAACTCTATCTCGCCGACTGAGGGAAAAGTTCGCGAGAAAGGAGGCTCTCCTCCGGCCGCTCTTTTTTTCTCATTCCGTTTCGTTTCGCTTCGCTAGACCCGGGCATCGACCTCTTTTCTCGCTATATTTATTCTAATTGTCTTTCGGGTTCTTGTCAAAGACGCTGGCGGACGACCGCTACCACCTGGTTCCCCTAATCACCTCCCACACATCACTTCTCGCGTGTGCGGGCGCTTGCTTTCTATCACCGAACCCCACGACTACAGATTGAAAAGCGGTTCTGGCTTTGAGAATCGTTGCTGCTGAGTGCATCGGGCCTCGATAACGTTGCCCTCGACTGGTTTCTTTGGGTCTCTCGCCTATACATCTGGTACCAATGGGCCTCGTTCAGCGGGTCACAAAATGGTTGCCCTCCACGCCGAGTCTGCCCCTAGATGACTCTTCGCGCGAAAAGGGCCGCAACCTCTCCAGATTCGCCTTCTTCAGACGGAGAATTCGGCTAAAGGGCAATTCCTCGATCTCAATACCCCTGGGATTTGTTTTACTGTTTCCATGTCTTGTAATAGTTCTTATCCTACTCCTTTTTGTTCGACATCCTTCGTCTCCTGGGGGTATCCTGATTCCCGCGGGCACTCCGCCATCGATCAGGTGGGTTCTGAAAATGGCTCTTCTCTGTCTACTGTCTTTGCTAACCGCACGATCACCGCAGAAAAATCAGTGAGAAATATGATAAGGTCTTTGCTACCGGCTGCCTTCCCGTAGAAGAGCAGGACTCCCCTCGCGCAAACGCTGCTTTTGTCGTCCTCGCCAGAAACAAGGAACTGGATGGTGTCGTACAGTCTCTCAAGTCGATTGAGAGACACTTCAACCGCTGGTTCCACTATCCTTATGTGTTCCTGAACGATGGCGACTTCGACGATGATTTCAAGGCCACCGTCAAGAACTATACGAGCGCCCCTGTGGAATTCGGAAAGATCGATGACTCTATGTGGGGATACCCCGACTGGGTCGACCATGAGGTTGCCAAAGAAGGTGTCAGGAAACAGGGTGACGCCGCCATCATGTACGGTGGAATGGAGAGTTACCACCATATGTGCCGCTTCTACTCCGGGTGAGTCTCGCTTCTTTCTTGAAGGTCTTTTCTCATACTGACTCGGGTTGTGCGTATAGACATTTCTACAAGCACCCCCTTCTCATGAAGTACGAGTGGTACTGGCGTCTAGAGCCCGAGATCAAGTACTTCTGTGACATCACCTAGTAAGACGACCGCCTGATAGATCGCATTTGATGGAATGCTAATGTGGACCTCAGTGACCCCTTCGTCAAAATGGCCGAAAACAACAAAACGTATGGCTTCACTATCGCCGTCAAAGAGCTTCGCGAAACCGTCCCGAACATCTTCCGCTATGCTTCTGCCTACAAACGCAAGAACAACATGGACTCAAAAGGTCTCTGGGAGATGTTCCTCGAGAAACCGGAGGAAGAAGAACAGAAGCCAGAGGAAGTCAAGCAAGAAAAGCTTCCTGAGGAAATTCTTCTGAACGAACCCGGCGAAAACACTGTCCCCGACATTGATCCCGAAGCCATGGAAGGTGAAAAGTACAATATGTGCCATTTCTGGAGTAACTTCGAGATTGCGCGCCTGGACTTCTTCCGTAGCAAGGAATATGAGGAATTCTTCGACATGATGGACAAGAGTGGTGGTTTCTGGATGGAGAGAGTACGTGCCGTTCCCCCTTTCGTCTTCCCGTTCTTGGCTAACTGATTTTCCAGTGGGGTGATGCGCCGATCCATTCGCTGGCCGCCGGTATCCTCTTGGGCCCTGGCGACATCCATTACTTCCGTGACTTTGGCTACCGCCACACCACCATCCAGCACTGTCCTGCGAATGCCCCCGCCCGTCAACTTCCCCGAATTCCTTATCTGGAGATGACGACCGATGACGAAAAGGCGCGCTTCGAGGAGGATGACTACTGGGCCAACCCGGACCCCGTCAAGGAGAATGGCGTTGGCTGCCGCTGCAGGTGCGACACCGATATTGTGGATGTCGAGGGCAAGCAGGGCAGTTGTCTCGCTGAATGGGTAGAAGTTGCTGGAGGGTGGGCATCTCCATAGACTCTGATTCTTGCCCCTTAATGTTCGCTGTATAATCTTTGCCTCCTCGTTTTCGTACCTACTTGTTCGACTATGAGCATTATTCGGGTCGCCCTTGGAGTTATCTGCTTGAGAGCCTGCATGTTACGTTGGCTGTGGGTTTCTGGACGGCGTTTCACGGATCTGACGGCTTCTATCCATGGAAGACGGTTGACCATTCTCATCAATCTTGACAAATTCATCTAGCGTGATTCGTATACTTCCATTCCGTTGGGATTGCCGCGTTCGCTATAAAGAGATCCGAATGTCACAGACGGTCTCGTTATGAAATGTCAGAAGAAGCCTTCGGTGAAGACGCGCTAGCCAGGATGCTATCCACTCCGTTGCTGCACGGCGGACTTCTGCTGAAGCTACTCTCATATGGTGAGCGCAAGACTCCTCGAACGCTAGCGAGCACCCACTGCGCGCTTTTCCGTGGGCCTTATGACACGACCGCTTGCTTGATGTTCGTCGATGGGCTGTCCTTCCCACCATGTCTATTGGGGAACCCAGAATGGCAGAGGTGAGCAACCACCCAAGCTGGTCTTGAGGCGCTTCAAGGGCGAGTGAGACCGGGTGCATCAGCACCGATATGGCAGACAGATTGCCATGGATCCTTGTGGCCTTTTGAGGGTCACTACGTAATAATAAATACCCTGTCGATGTCTCTTGTCTTATTCCTTTCTCCCTTTCCTTCCTTCTTTCTGTCCCGATGCCATTCAGGAAGTATTCTGGTTGTCTGATTTGTTCTCCCCTTTCCCCATCCAACATCCTTCCCCCTTGACTCTTCTCAATTCACTTAAGTCATGGAATGTACATACCTCATAGTCACTTATATCATCCAGTGGATCATGCCATTCTGATCGTGACTCCAGTAGTAGTTGTTTGCAGAGCTGTTTTCAGATTAGTAATAATGAGCTGTGCTGACTGTCGGAGATCTACAAAACTACCCTTTCTGGACTAGTCACCTGATAACGGATGGCTTATCAGCTCAGGCGGTTTTGCCTTCGTTCCGGGCATTTCCTACCCTCGGAGTTGAGACGGAGTATACGATGGAATTGATCCAGACAACCCGAACGAACAACACATGATGAGGTAACCAACTGTTCGGTTGGTTGAACATTCAGGCTGACGAGTAGTACGTCCTCCTATGAACTAGGTAGGGAGGGGATTGCTCCGCCTGACCGACCCTTCATGTCTTACTACCGCGTTATCCTTGTCATGTGCCCCGCGCATGATAGCTTGCCATCAGCCTGCCACTGCCACTAGTTAACTTATCATTCATTACTCTATCACTCTATCACTCTATCACGACCCCTCATCACTCTTCCTTCTTCAACTCCCCTTCTCCCCTCCGAATCCCATCTGGTCCTCCTTGACTGCCGTAAACCTCTTTCCAGGTTCGCAAAAGGTTTGCCTACTTCTGCTTCGCGGAGTGAGAATCACTGTTTCATATTCGAACCTCTTATTTATCCAGTCAATGGTCCATTCACATCTAGTTAGTCCTTAGGCACCCAAGCCGCTCTTTCTCCGCCCGGACCCTCGGGAACAGCACCCCAGTATCCACACACTTACTACTACTTACTTACCTCCCCCTCCCCACGCAAACGCAACGCAACGCATCGTCGGTCTAGTTGTTCGTCGGGCATCTGCCTATCAGGCTGAGGGATCTCGAGGAAGCTCTTCGGAACAAACTGCATTCCTACCAGTTTCTGACCGCTAGAGCTTACCTCTCGTGAAGTTAACGTATTTACTCCGCTGACTGTTTGTTGTACTTATTCTTGGGCTTACCCGTTGTCCATTGTACTCGGCCGCAAAAAAGCTTCCGCTCTGCAACTTACCTAACATACTACCTCATTTTCCTGCACCTGTCTCTATGACAAAATCACACTAGCATCATGACTGACCCTCCGGAACCTTCTTCCAGACGTTGCCAGAACGACTCGGCCGCTGCTCCACCTCTGCAGTATCCTACGTTCCCTCCCTTGAGTGCTTCTGTCGAAGAGTGGCTATCTCGATCGAGGCCTATCAACATGACGTCAAATCTGCCAACCACAGACCAGACCTCCCGGTCACTGAGTGAGAGCTGGGCCACGATGAGCGTCTCCGATATATATTCTGAGGATGGTACCCGCTCGGAACAGACCGATATGGGGTCTCTGATCGATCATACTGGTCCTGACGATGTGGCCAGCCTTGACGAGACCTCAAGCAACAGTGAAATCGATGCCAGTGATGATGACGGATACTACGGTGAGAATTATGAGTCGACGAGCCATGTGTCGGCCACGCAAGAGCTGTCTTCTGGTTTCCCTTTTCTCGGGACCTCGATCGATGACAGTAGCCTCACCACCCAGACTGCTTTCCGCCAGTCGACCGAGTCCATCGAGTTTACTGAGCCTGAGAGCTGGCCCGAAACCGAACGCGTAGAATTGAAACACACCATTCGGGTGTTTGAAGGTCTTGAGGCAGCAGCATTGAAACAGAAACTCTCTAACACAACCCAAGACTCAACACTTACAGCTACAGTGCAACAAACCATGACGAGAAGATCCTTGGACACAGACAAGCCATTCCGCGTGCTCTACATTGGCAGCCCGGACTTCCGAAACCTCATCCTGGATAAAATTGGAGATGTCCTGGTGGCAAGCTCTCCCTGTAGCAGTTACGAAAGCAGTTCCACCGAGTCCTCCAGGTATCATGTGGTCCCAACATCCTTTGGTGCCGGGGCGATCCCTAATTTCGCCGAGCTCCTGCCCATTCATGTTCAACTTATCGTGGACGAATGTCTCGACGCCTCTGCAGACAGTCAGACTGACAAGCGCAGCACGATCACCTTGAATCTCAAGAACCAACCTCCATATACTTCGAAGTGGGTGGGTGCCGACTATTGCATTTCTTCTCCTGTGGAGTGGACCTTGCCCGATGTAGCCATCATTTTCCTAGCAACCACCGACAGCAACAAGGACATGGAGACCCAGAGGCTGGCTCGCATCTTTTTGGAAAGACACGGCGTGCCCACAATGGAAATCTCAGAGCGCCCGCTGTGGACAATGTCGAGGGTCCCTGTTCCCGTGAACCGCCACAGTCTTCACATGTGCCTGGAATCGCGTGATCCAGTCACTGGAACCTCTACACTTGTGAACAGGTATCCGATTGACATCAAGACGTTTGAGAGCATTGCGCCCAGACAGCTCAATAGAAACCTGGCTTCTCTGGCAACTATATATCCGCGGAAAGTTTATCAGGTTCCCCCCGAGTGTCCAAAGGAGCTTCTAGTGAAACGAGCTCTGAACGCCGTGGATCACACATGGAAAGTGACCCCCCTCCCCTTCAGCAATGGAAATCACAAACTGGCGTTCTTACTTCGCTTGACTGTCCTGTTTGCTGCCGCCGTATTGACTATAACTTTTGGCCATTTTGCGCTCCGGGCACTTATCTTGTTTCTTACCCAGTATTTCGCACACTCTGAAGTCTCCAGCACAGTCACAACTCATTCTCAGAATATACCAACGGCCAGCGGGTTCGGTCCGGATGGATCGTTAACCGTGGTGCCGTCGAATATGGCTGCTGTTCAAGCCCACAGAGCTCAAGCTCATGGCCGCTCTTCGTTGGAAGATTTTATGGACGGAATTCTCTCTCCGAATCAGCCAAGTGAGGGGCCCAGCGAATTTGAGTTTCAGGTGGTTGGCGATTGTCATCTGGCCATCAAACCACCACATAAATCTTTCATTGGCAGGAAGGGTCCACGATTTAGTGTTCAGATAAAACGAGATGGCAAGCCCCTCGATTACGAACTTTCGACTTTGTTCGAAGGAGTATACACCTTGAAACTCGAGCGAGCCGATGCCTATGGGCTGTTGGATGTTATAATCACCTCAAACACCAGACCACCTTTTACACAGACCACTTCCGTGGACTTTGGTACACCATGGCTGAAGATTCAGAACTGGAAACGAGCCGCCCATGCCATTTCGTCACAGTTTTTGAAGGAATTTGGCAGCGCGCAAACGGGCCTGTCAGAGGCATACGAACGTATCTGTACCGACCTCCAGGTGCTCATGGGTGACGTCGTCAAGAAAGCCCATTTTCTGCGACGAGAGGCGTCCTCGCTACATGACTCGGTGCAACTCTCCCATGATACCAAAGAACTGGTTCTCTCGAAGTCGGCGCAGCTTACTCAAGCTGTCAAACGTAATGCTGTGCAACCTCTCTTAGCCGCCTCAGCCACATTCCAAGGCCACACTGAAAGAGTCAATAGGGGAGCCAGGGAAGTTATGAGTGGCACATGGAACAGGATAAGTGCTTCTGCTCAGGTGCTTGATCTTACGAGCATGAAGACGCATATCCGCAACGCAAGGAAGTGCCAGACTTTGAATAGGGCGCAGCAGAGGGCCAGGAGCCTCATGAAACGGAAGACTTGCCGGCAGACTAGATGTGCTAAATAAGGAGGTCGAACAGCTGGACTGGACTCTGGGAGATGGAATCTGCTTCTTGTAGGTAGTACACTAGCTACAATTCTCTTCGCTTTATTCTTTGTTGGCTTTTGGGTTGCTCTGCTCGGTTTGGGACGTTCTCGGCGCATGGTCACGTATTGAGGATTGTTTGACGCGTGGATCTGGATCCTGGGAATACTGGCAGGCAAATGTATCCAGGTTTATCTAATTGATATTGATACTGATCAGATATTGATATTGACACTCATTGACATTGAACATTAAAGCATTAAATGAGTGTGAATGGGCAACTGTGGACCAAGATCCATAATGGTTGCAGTACTTGTAGGTCAGTACATAGTGGACTCACCCCGCGGTCCCTTTTTCTTTTTCAGGCGCGGGGCAGGCAGTAAATGACCTTCCCTTCCGAACGAGTGGCGCTAGGTGCCTAAGGCTCTGAGGCAAGAAAGGTAGCAAGCCAACCTTTGAACCCACCTTCTTTGGCCGACCAAAAACATTGAATCCCGTCCATATTTTCCCACCCCCTCTTCAAACTAATAACTCCATCCTCCCATACAATCTTTTATTTTCCCCTCTATTCTCAGGTATACTTCCACCTGCATTCTTATCTCAAAATCTTGACCCGCTCACTTTCTTCCGCAGAAATCTATCCATCCATCCATCACCATGTCTGACGTCGCTGAGACTAAGCCCGACCCCACCACCAGCGCTCCTGAGGCCGCTGAGAAGCCCGAGACCACCACCACCGAGGCCGTGGCTGAGGAGGCCAAGGCTGCTGCTGAGTCTGCCGCTGAGACCGTCAAGGAGACTGCCACCAAGACCACCGACAGCGTTTTCTCCATGTTCGGCGGAGGTCCCAAGAAGGAGAAGGTCGAGGTTGAGGATGACAAGGACGAGCCTTCTGGCTCTTCCAAGGCCCAGAAGGCTGAGGAGGAGGTGAGTCAATACAAAAGTTTTTTTGGTGGTTTTGGGAAGAATCACTCGTTGGGTGGGCTTGCGGGTTATTGTTCAGACATACCCCGCTTTCGCCCCTCCATGGCGGAGAGCTTCTGTGTTCAAATCTTTTGTTTTGTCTCCTCTTATTTCTATCGCGCGGGGAACCAGTTTGACTCGATCGTGAGAGAAAGCCTTTGGCTAACTAGTCGCTTGCCTCAACAGGACGAAGCCCCGGAGTCCCCCGATGTCCACTTCGAGCCCGTCATCCGCCTGACGGAAAAGGTCGAGACCAAGACCAACGAGGAGCTGGAGGAGCAGACTTTCAAGATGCGTGCTAAGCTGTTCCGCTTCGACCGTGAGAGCAAGGAGTGGAAGGAGCGTGGCACTGGTGACGTGAGACTGCTCAAGCACAAGGAGAACCAGAAGACCCGCCTTGTGATGCGCCGCGACAAGACCCTCAAGGTCTGCGCTAACCACTACAGTGAGTTTTCGCCTCGAGACTGGAGCGGAGGGTCTCCATACACGTTCCAGGTGACTGATGCTTTGCTCTAGTTGTTCCCGACATGACGCTCAGCGCCAACGTTGGCAGTGACCGCAGCTGGGTCTGGAACGCTGCCGCCGATGTTAGCGAGGGCGAGCCCGAGGCTTGCACCCTGGCCATCCGCTTTGCCAACAGCGAGAGTAAGTCCTGTTGCTTCTCTGAATGTCCCCGGAAACGGTATGACTAACGCATGGTTCCAGACGCCAACCTGTTCAAGGAGGCTTTCGAGACGGCACAGAAGGAGAACGAGAAGCTCCTCAGCCAGCAGTAAATGCGGGGAATTCCAGCAGCTACGAATCTTTCCCCTCCCAGCGGCAAAGTGATATAGAGGGCTATCTTTAATGCACATTTCGATCTCTCCTTTGCACTACGAATCTGATGTGGACTTCTTTTTCGTCATTTACCTCTCTCATCCCCCGCCCATGCGGATTCACTTTCCCATAATCCCCATCGACCCTTATTATTATCTCGTACCTTCTTCCCCTTTCCCCCTTACCCTTGACACGATCTGTATTCCTCCATCCGTGAGGAGACAGAATGATGAGGCCGGCTCTGTCGAGATTCGGAGTCGATGCATGTACAGACAGATTCGACGTGGTTTGACCCCGAGGTTGAAAGTATGTCCTCAGGCGAGTCGGCAGTAGATAGACACCATTTCCCCAAAATACACGTATGACATTATGAAGTAGAAACGCTGGTATTTTGGTGCATTGGATGACTTTGTTTTCCTCATTTAGGGTGTAAGCAGAATGTGAGATTAAATGGATCTCTAAGTGTGGAGGGGTACTGCAGTGAACAGCCCATGAAATTGCAGATCAGATGAATAAAGTACGAAGTAGATGATGCCTTATTCCGGTCTGAGGGGGGAGTTGCGATGCGGGAAAGTGCAGTGCAGAGTCCAGTAACAGTAACTGAAAGGTTGGTTAGTACTCGAGCAGTGAGCAGTAAGTAATCAGTCAATCAGTCAATCGTTCCATGCAAATCCCCCCTCCCCTCCCCCCCGCGCGGAAAGCTTCCCTCCCAGCTGTCTCTTGCTACGACTTGTGCCTTTTATCACCTTAGCACCCTAGCCTACGATATCTCGTTATTTAAATTTCAATTGAGAGTCAATCTCAGTCAAGTTTGCAGTAAACCTGGGGAGCAAGAAAGCGAAAGTGACAGACATTGCAGCCCCGATCAGATCCCATCCCGGCAAACACCCGACCTCAACTCCGCCTTGATTCGTCGCGCCTGCTTGAGCCCGATTGCTCTCCGTACACTTTCTCCCAAAACAACCAGTCTGCCACCACAACCTTCAGAGGAAGGGATCCAGCCAAGCTCGCCATTCACTCAATCCCTAACTCCCTATCTCTCCGCGCAATCAACTGAAGCCTATTCACAACGATGCCCGACGTGAGTCCGCCGCCTTCTCCGTTCCTGAGCATTGCGAGCGAGCGAGCGAGCGAGCCATTGCTCACTCTACTCGTGACGCGCGGACTCTGAACCCCGGACAAGACATTAATTGCAGCGCGCTGACCCAGCTCCTCTTCTTATAGGTCAAGAGAAATGTCCGTCTGGTGACGGAGCAGCACATTCTGTACGTTCCCACACCTTGGCCTCTGTCTGGTCTTTACCTGAGCTTAGCTCGGAGTCATCACCACCACCACCATTCAACCATCCTCTTCAGCTCCCCGTCACATCGCAACCACCTTGACATATCGCAAACCATGATTGCCACGTTACATACCCGAGCAAGAACGCGCTCGCGCTTCCGCTGTCTTCCTTTAGTCTCTTTAAAGGACAATATGTGAGGGAGCTAGTGAAAGTGCTCGATGGGCTAACTAGGCTGTTTCGCGCCCGCGCGCCCCCAACAGGAACAAAGACTCCGGCGTCGAGGGATTCCCTCTACGATCATGGTCAATTGAAATCTACCTGGTCAACGACCACGGCGAGCAGGTTCCCGCAAACGTCTTCGACAAGGTGACGTACACACTGCACCCGAGTTTCGGCCCGCGGGCTGTTCAGAGTACGTTCTTTGCTTTTTCACTTTTTTTTCTTAAGGGGAGTTTGTATTCTCCGACCTGGTTGGGTTTCTTCCTCGTCTCATGATTCCCTCATTTACCCGAATTCTCGCGTTTGCACTTGTGTGTCTATATGTGCATCGTGGAGGAGGGGAGGCGTTTTCTTACCCTTAGCGGCGTCTGCAATTATTGGGGCGGGGGGTTCCTACTCTTAGCGGCCTCTGAAAATCATAGGGAGAGGGAAGTGTTGGGGGCAGAAAGAACCACCCAACATAGGATTACTGCAAAACGATTTCGTGATCCCATGGACTGGCTGACACGCGTTTTGTTTCGGGATGATAGCTTTTAAGAATCCTCCGTTCAGAATCTCCGAGGAAGGATGGGGTGAATTCGACATGCAGATCGGCCTGTCTGCCGCCGACAAGGAGCATTTCGTCACCCATGACCTCAACTTCGCGCAGGCGCGCTACGAATCCAAGCACGTTATTGTGAGTGAATCCTGAGTTGTTCCTGAGGGTTGAGATGGGAAGACTGACCTGGGTTGTCCCCGAAACAGACCTTCAAGAACCCCAAGCCTGCGCTGCTAGCGCTACTGCGTGAATCCGGCCCCGTTCCTGGCGACGAGAACGGAGTCAAGTCGAAACGCGCCGCGGGAGGCGAGGAGGGGTCGAAGAAGAAAAAGAAGACGGAGAAGAATGTAATTTCCCTCCCCGTTTAGATTTGGTCCCATCTTCCTGGCTTGTGCCGTGATCACTCGGCTAATTTGTGTTAATATAGGTCGACATGGACAAGCTGGCCGATGGCCTCCAGCGTCTTGGCGAAGACGATCTTCTCCAAGTGGTGCAGATGGTCCATGACAACAAGGCTCCGGACTCATATACCAAGAACGATGTTGAGCGTGAGTTTCCCTTGTTCACCTTTCTTGTGATTTCTTTGTAACAGCAACTAACCACAACCTGATGGATTTATCATCGACAGAGGGTGAATTCCACGTCGACCTCTATACCTTACCCGATAACCTAATCAAGATGCTCTGGGATTTCACGCAGGAAAAAGGTGCTTTGTGATTTTGTTTCTTTTTTGTCGGACTCTCTCTTTTCTTCCATCTTTCTTGTCTCTCTTCCGACTACCATTTTATTTTATTTTCCCCTCTCTCGTCCGAAATCTTCGTGATAAAACAAAACTTAATCATACCACTTTTCCTGCGTTGTTTGACCCGTGTACCTTTCGATCTTGTCTCTGGACCTCTGGACAAAGCCACATATGTGTCTATATGGCTTCTCCCTTTCTTGCGAAAGTGCGTGGGCTGCTAGGAGTCGTTGCATTGAAGCTTTCTTTTGCTTTTTCGGCGAGAATACAAAATTTTCTGTCTGCTGGGGTTTAGGGTCGGTAAGAATACATACATATCTTTTACTTTTTTTTCTGATGGGATGGGAATGGGATGGGGAGCATCTGGTTTGGTTCTGTGATTATCTGGATGATTGTGAGAGGGAGGGTATGGGATATGGGATATGGGATATGGGATATGGGCGGGTAAGATGCCATTACTTCACAAGATGGTCGCACCTATGATGTACGGTAGGCTATGTAATTCGGGCAACTGGCTAGTGCCTGTACTTCACCTTCCCTGGGTATAGGTATAATCCCCAGCCTAGTTAGACTATAGTTATCCGGATCTTTCGAGGATTGCGCAGCAGGTATAGATAGCCACACTAGCCTGAAACCACGACTCCCCTACACTACATATACTATGTATAACCACTACACTCACTACTTATACAGACAGTGGAAAGCCCCTCAAACTTGATCTAGATATGATGACGATGACGATGATGATCAGTGATTAGAGTAAAGTGGATAATAATACATAGCCATAGCCATAGCCATGGCCCTGAGATTCGACTGCGCGAAGGACACACTACCAAACCAAAGATGAGGACGCAGACATCAAAAAAAAGAGAAAAACTCATATCGTGACGAGAAAAAAACCATGGAGGATATCTTCAAGCTCAGGATAAAATCAAATCAAGACAAACAGTAAAATAACCCTGACAACACCGTGACGAAAATTCTATATGCGAGCCCGGATTTTGAGTTTGTAACATGAAAAGAAAAAGGAGAGAAACGCCCGCTGTGGTGCATTGCAATGCTTTGGATTGAGGATAGTGATGTGGTGTGGTGTGGAGAACAGAGGTGGCTGTGTCGAGGTTTAGATTGAGATGGAGAATTAATGAGAGAGGACATGTGCAGCGTAGCGTGAACGTGGATCGGGATTGATCGTCAGATTGAGATTCATGGTGTTGCTTTAGAGGATGCGGTGCCTGTACATGTTGATCGTGATTAGTATCGAATATTGGCGGGAAGGGTGATGCGGAAGACAACATACATCTTCAACAAGTCCTCCAGACTGTCGGCACTCAGACTCCGCCCCTTGGGAATCTGGCGCATGATCTCGACGATCGTGGCGAAGACATCCCCGTCGCGGTACGCCAGCAACGCCGGGGCCTCGATGTTATCCATCTCCGCGATTTCGTGGTGCAGCTTGATGAAGTGAACGGTGGGTTGGCGGCGAGCGATGGTGTTCAGGCAGTCTTCGACGAGGGCACTGGGCGTGGACTTACCAACAAGTTAGTTTCGGCCACTACAACCAATAATCAGAGAAACATACCTCCGGATCATACAGGCAAACGACCACCACCGTCCCCGAAGTGACCTTCTCAATGGCATCCAGATACCCAACGGCATCCACGTGGTCGACGGACCCATACAACCGGCGGCGAGGACTGGGCTTGCGAAGCGTACGGGCCTGCATCTCCTGCATGCGCGAGGTGCGCCACTGGCGCAGAAACCGCTCCTCGTCGTCGCTGCCCGAGGACCCGTCAGGCGGGGAGGAGTTGTGCAGCAGCGTGGCGTCGTCCGTGGTGGCCTTCATCGAGTAGTGGGGTCGGTCAATGCCGGCGACGCTCAACAGGGTGCGGCGGAAGGAGGATTTGCGGGCGCGCTCGAAGGCCTGGGCGTCGGCAATGACACCCTTGGGGCCTGTGTTGGCATCGTAGGTGGCATTGGGGATCTTGTAGGTACTGGTGTTGCGGGAGTGCATGGCAGAGGTTCTGTGGATGTCGTCGTCGTCGTCGTCGTCGTCGTCTGCGTCGGAGAAATGAGGGCGGTTGTGGTCTTCGTGATCGTTATCGTCGGAGGATTGATCGGAGTCGTCTCGATCAGAATGATTATCTCGGTCTTCAGGGTGAGTCGAGAACCGGTCTCGATTGTTCTGAAGGAGTTGATTGAATTCTTCTTGGGCGGCAGATGACATCTTGAAAAAGAAGAAAAGAGGAGAAAAGGGACCAAGTGTCGGGAGGGTATGCCGGGTGTTTTAAAAGGAATGGGTCGTTGACCAGAGGAGTGAAACGATGATATTCTTAGAATGGGGGGAGGGACGACTTGGGCTGTGCCTGGATCTGCGTGGTCGTTCCGGGACGGGTTGGAATGGGCTAGGTCAAATTCCCACTTTGGTATTTTTTTTTCCCTTTGTTTTAAAATTATGTTTTTAAACTTCTGGGGTGTTGTCCTCTTTCTGTCCGTGAATTCGTGTGTTGTTGAAGGGGTGTGCTCTGGGCGAATGGGAAAAGCGGAAGAGGGCCGAGCGAGGAGTGAAGCCGAATTCGTAACCAACACGCAAGTGGTCAAAGGTCACGTCCCATAGGGCAATTGGGGTGCGTTTCGAATGGTTTGACTTTTTGGAGGAGGGGCTGATAATGATGGTGATGGATGATATAGTTACGGATCTTGTCTCCTGGTCTGAGTAAAGAAAGGGAGTAATAGGATTAAGTTAGAGTATGAGGAGGAGGGAGATCGGGGCGAAAGAAGGATGGAGAAGAGGGGGTGGGCAAGGAAAAGAGATGAGGGAGAGATGGAGTGGATGGAGTGGCCGCAGCCAGTGGCGGGAAGAGGGGGAAAAAAAAAAAAGGAAGGCTCTGGGCTCTGGATGAAACACGGTCCAGGGGGCGTAGTGTGTTTCAGGGCAGAAGATCAGCCGCAGCAGAAGAACCTTCCATGCCTTCCTTCCCTCCTCCAGGATTGTCTTCCTTCCGCCCTCCCCCCTACATTCATTTATTTATTCACTAAGGAGTACATGAATTCATAAACCCATAAACTATCAGCCTCATACATATCTCATGGTTCATCCACTTCGAAACACAACCCACCGAGCTTCAGGGTCTGTTTGGAAGAGATGAACTCGTCCCCAGCTTTTCCAGCCGGTTGGAATCCAACGGTTTGTGTATTCAATCGACTCCAACTCAGCCTTTACGACCCCCCGGTCCACCCAACTACATCATCAGGTGTTTCACACATCGGGGATGAACTCTGTTTGCCGAGTGCAAATGACCGGCCGAGTGCAAATGACCAAGTATAGCAACATCGCAAACCATTCATATTCCTCATGCAGTAAGTGGTCAGCAGTAAGCAAAGTACACATAGAAGCACAGTAACTTTCCGACTAACAGAATAAAAAGTACGGAGTACCGTACAGTACATAAAGATCTGACACGTCCAATTTAAGGTTGCATGTTGCATGCAGTCCTCCGTAGGTACACGACAGGACATATCAAACCTGCATACTCCGTAGTTCGAGTCGCATACTTTTCCACTGCAGATGGGCGCAGCACCGAGCCCTGAGCACAGCATCCCATCCCATCCCACCTTCCATTCAATCTAGCATTCGACCTAATACATGAATGAAATTAAAACTATATCCCCTTGAACAACCCAAAAAAAAAAAGAAAGAAAAAAGAAAAGGAAATCAACAACAACAACAACAACAACAACAACAACAATCTTCGAACACGAACGCAAAACACAACCACTCGAAAAACTACATAAACAAACGATGGGGCAAACACCTTCCCCCTCCTCCACTTCAGAGTCAAGCTTCGGTTCATCCCCCC